GTAATGATGATCAACTGCAAGACTTAGCTACTCTGATCCATACAATGGTCCATGACAATTCCAAAGGATTCATGATAAAAAATGCTATCCATCTCCAGAGAACTGTTAAACTCCTGAGTACTGATTGAAGCATATTTTTTTTCACTTTATTTTTCTTGCTCCACCCCCCCACACACACATCATGGTTTAATACTGAAATGTTTTGCATGACTTCACACGTAAAATGGGTATCATATTGCTTGCCTTCTCGATGGGTGATGGAGAGGCTAAAGAGAGAGAGAGAATTTGGAACTGAAATTTTAAAAAAATTAATGTTAAAATTTTAAAAATGGCAAGGGGATGGTTTCAGAGAAACCTGGGAAGACTTGTATGAACTGATACAAAGTTAAGTGAGCAGAACCAGGAGAACCATTTATACAACATGATAAAGATAATTTTTAAAGACTTAATTGAAATCAATACAATGAATTACATTATGCAATGAAACATGCTATCCACCTCCAGAGAGCAAATCAAAGCATGTTTTCTTTGTTTTTGTTTCTTTTGGGTTTTCTGGATATGGCTAATGAGGGAATTTGTTTTTCATTACTGTACATATTTGTGAGGGCTTTGTTTTGCTTGCCTTCTCTATGGGTGAGTGAGGGGGAAAAGAATTTGGAACTGAAATAGCATTAAAATTTTTTTAAAAAATTAAACTTGTATTACTTTTGGCTCTCATGCCTTTCATCAAGAAGAATAAATTTGTTTGACGGCTGTGGTGGTTTGTTGGTAAACTGTTTTGAACTCATTATAAAAATTGCTCTCTACTACTTATACTCATGTAGCAAATGTTAATAAATAGAGTAAATGTCTTTCTACTTCCTATTTTTCATCCTCAGTAGCTTATCTGAATAGGTCAAGTTGTAACTGCTATAATGACACACCTAATCTTTGCATCTTTATCATTTCTTCTAATTTGGTATTGATTTTGACCTTCATTCTAACAGGTTTGACTATACAGAGACAGTTAAGAAAGCGATTTCCACATGAGTAAACTAGTTGCTTTTTGCCTGCTAAAACACAGTAAATTTCATTTTTGATGTTTGGGGTTTACCATGTCCAGCCTTCTGCATTATGGGTCTCCTTTTGAGATAATCATGTTATATAGACATGAGCTTTATGAATAGCTTACAAGTCTTTGGCATCTTTCATTTCTTAATGCTAAGCCATATTTTCCAACTTTCTATTATCCTCTACCATATACAACTTTGCATCAAGGTAAACAAGTACTATAATAAACTTTAGCTTGAAGTTCTCAAGTTGTCGAAGTACTTCTCTACTTCTACTTTGTAGAATTTTTATACTTCATCCTCTGCAGCACATGCAATTATCTTTATGGTTATCTTTTTGCTTATGCTCATCTTTGAGCATTGCAAGGTAACATGACCTAATGTTCCATGAAATGATGCTTCTCTTTACTAGGGGCATTATCAAGCTAATTTCATCTGCCTAAGAAGGATCTGTAAGTCACACTTCCATCAAACTACAACTTCCTCCTATATTCTGGTTTAGTGAATTGTAAAAAATATCAATATTGATAAAGTTCATTTCCTTTACACATATGTCCATTTGCTGGCTGTTGGACAAGGATTTTATATGTAAAGTTCCTAGTGTTAAAATGACTACAGACTGTTTTAAGACTGCTTTTTAGCCTTCTTTTCCTTTTTCTACCACTGCCACCATCACTACAGAAATGAAAAATGAACATGTGCACAATAACTGAACAAACTGTAATATATCAATTTAACAGACCACAGCACTGTGAGGAATTACAATATAAGGAAACGAGAGAAACATAAGATCTACATGGTGTGATTCAGAATAAAGGAACAAAATACGTGACTATTAATGATATAAATAACTTAAAAGGCAGTAAAACTGGTCAAATACAGCAGATGATACTGGAACTATTCTACCAAAGCCAAAGCACACATATATAACTGGAAAATTAAAGTGAAATATACTATGAGTTGTTATCATATCATTTGAATTTTGCTTAACATGTTTATGGGAAATCAGCTTTGTAAGAGTACTTCAGTAAAGATGCTTTGTAAGAAGCATCAGGGTAGGTTGAATTAAAACCATTTTTTTAAGAAGCAGACCAGACAAGACTGAAGGCCATTTTGCATTTTATTTTGTTTCATAGGTTGCCAGACCAAGAAATAGATCATCCAGTGGCCAACCTCTTGAGTGATGCAAGCCATATTTCAACGGACTGGTCCTCAAATAATAGACAATAGACATTGCTGGGACCACCTTCACAGCCTTCATTGCCTAAAAAGCCATCTCCAAAACATGAGACACCGAGGTAGAACTTTTGTGGCAGTATCTTACCAGAAATCTGTGGATGGTTTAACTCCCCCAGAGCCAACAGAGAACATTGTAACTCCCAACCCATATTCGTAATTTCTCATGCAATCCATATGAAGATAATCTACACATATGTCAAGGATTACCTTTGTTGAAAATTGAAGAGTCAGGTCTGTACAAATTTCTATAGCAGCCACAAAGGTGACTGAAAGTTATCAAGACTGTAAGATCCTCAGAAGACCTGAGCTCAAAGCTTACCTCCAACACTTTCTAGCTGTGGGACCCAGGAGGAGCCACTTAATCTCTGTCTGCTTCAGTTTCCTCATCTATAAAAATGGGGATAATGTAAACATTTACTTCACAGGAGTGACTCAAGTGAGATAACACATGCAGTGCTGTGGAAAACCTTAAAATGCTATATAAATGCTATCTATTATTATAAAAAAAAAGAATGTAAGATCCGGTGTGCTTACTATATAAGTTTATGTAAGAATCCTTGGTAAACAATACCACAGTTAACTTTGTTCAACAATCATCTCTAGTGTTGCCAAGTAAAGTACAAAACAGGAAAATAAGCTGGCCAAACCTGTTACTATTACAGAAGATGACCAACACAGACTCCAAATGGACAACAACATCCTTAGAGATGATGAGGTCTTCCAGATGTTTCATTTTGCAGGTGAAATTTTAGAATTCTTGGTCTTGATGTGATAAACAATAGATATGCCTCAGTGACATTTACAGTAACTCAAAAGAGACTGGCAGAAATCATACAGGAAAAGCCAAGCACATGAAGAATGCCTCTTGTCCAGACTGAAATGCAGTTACGGGATAGTCCATCAATACATATGTCTTGGATGTGGAATACAGCTGGATGATGAGTTAGGACCCAAATTGAAGGGAGCAGATTGGATCGCCTTTGAGAAATTGCACAATGTTTTTGACCCTAAGTTGCTCCCTGCAACAAAAACCCATCTTCGTAACACCAATATTTTCCTGGGATGCTAAATATTAAGATTGTGCTGACCTCACTGTTGTATGGAAATCTGGAGAGCATACCAGCACCATGCCAGAAAATTGGACCACTTCCATTCGAATTGTCTTAGGAAGGTTCTGAAGATTACATGGCAAGATAAGGTACTGGACACCAGGGTCCTTTCTTGAGCTCAATTGCCACGCATTCAAACTCTACTACAGAGAGCGCAACTCTGATAGGCTGGCCACATAGCTCAAATGTCAAACACACATCTTCCTAAAAGATTATTTTATAGAGAACTCACACAAGGCAGCACTCAGAGAGGTCAGAAGAAGCAGTACAAGGACACTTTCCAGTTCTCTCTGAAGAACTTTTGTATCAGTTATGAGACATTGGAGATGGTTGGCAAAGGACCACCCAACATGGCATGCCCGCATCAAAGAAGGCTCTGTGTTCTATAAGCAAAGCAGAATTGCAGTAGCACAAAAGAAATGTGAGATGCACAAAGTGACAGACATTTCCAACCCAAACATTCAAATAGACTATTTGTTCCTGACCTGTGGTAGAGCTTTCCAAGCTCATATTGAACTGATCAGCCAGTGGAAGACACTGTACCTTGACCCCCAACATCATGATATCATCAGTCTTCTTCGAGTGTGAAAGACGAACAAGAACACATTCATGTTAAACCATCCACTTCAAGCAATGGCTCTATCTTTTTATCATTCTTGCTTCGAACCTACATAAATCCTTTTCCCACATGTCAATCATGTCTGAATCGATTTTTTTTTCAGACCAATATACCCCAGTTCCTTCCATTGCTTTTTAGGTATCTGTTTTTCAGGAGTTCATAGACTCATTCAAGTCTATGATTAAATTATGTTCAGTACATTCTTATGTATTTTTGACATTGATTTACTGTAAGTTTTAGGAGAAAGAAAGTGGCTAAATGTATAATGCCTTCTCTAGAAGTCAGAGATTTTAAAATTAAATCCTTCTATCAACTTGCTTGGTATTTTACCTCTTCCTTTATAAACTGAAAAATGCAGAAACAATTCCAATTGAGTGCTTTTCATTTACTTGGGACCTGGTTTCCCCTCAAAGATTTACTTCCCCAAATGGATCTGGCTTGAATTATAATAATTAAAATTACTTTGACTCTTCTCACACACCAACTTTCAGAAATAGGTTGAAAGACAGTAAGGAAACCAATGGGAGAGTTATAAATTGCTACAGATACTTAGAGCTTCAAAGAGAAGATGGCAATTGAACTTGACTTGCAATGATTCACTTTACTTGTTTAGAAAAGCTCTTTATTAAAAAAGATAAATGATAACCTAAGTCTCCTTGATGTCTAATAGATTTAAAAATCATAAAGGATAAAGATGCTTCAAAATGTTAATGGTTTTGTTGTTGTTGTTTATAAATAGAGATAAATGATGATGTTTTATACGTCTTTGTAGGTTTTAGATAAAATCAATCTTAGGAGAAAAATGCTGATAAATGTGATTCACACAAATTGATCTCTAGTAAAACTGAACAGTAAAAATGAAGAAATAATTTCCTTTGATCCTAACAAGGTTTACTAATTAGGCAAGACCATAATAAGACCCAATTGCCAGAAAGCAAGGCAGTAGCAATACCTTATAATAATGTTACCCTATAATCCAAGAGCTTTTACATAAAAAGTTTTATTTCTGTGTATTTTCTAAAAACATATTAGATGGGCCATTACAATGAATGATTTTTTAAATCAGTTTTATGAAATACAAACCCACTATTGATTAAAGCTATAACAATCTAATTGCCTGACTGCAGGCCTTTTACTGTTTCACTGTGATGCTAATGTTGCTTTTGTGGTGCTGAATGTTGAGGACAACCTCTTGTCCAATTTCAACTGGGATGGGATTATCTAATACAACTGCAGCTTGTTTCCAGTGTGAGGTTTCACTTGATGTATCCAGACTAATCTCTTCATCAAGATACACATGATACCAGAATGGAATGGCAGTCACTTGTCCAGATTTACAAATCTGCACCTAAAAATATAAAATTTTTAAAAAATATATAATAGTTTAAGAAATGAAAAGTCCTAATATATAATTCTCAGGATATCAAAAAATAATTTTGAATTGGTACACTTTGATTTTTTGTTAGTTATCAACCTAAAAATACAAAAGTCACTGAAGTGCTTACAGTTTTAATGCAAGTTAAAAGAATGAAAAATGAACTAAGCCAGGGTTATGGCTAGCTAAGAAAGGCAATCAACTAGAGGGAACCAGAGAGTGACTGCAATAAAGGCAAAGTTTTTGCACATTTTTTAAAATTAATACACATTTTTAATGCAAGAAAATCCTCTCTTCATGGCATACTAAGAATTTATTTTGTATAATTCTCACAGGTCACAATGAAATTTCAAAGCCTCCAGTGGACAAGTGAACAATAAACATACTACGGAGCCACTTCCAAAATTAATTAGGATGGGGTAGGGCTGGGAGAAGGGAGTATAATTTTCAGACCTTACCTAATGTGTACAAATGTCTCTAACAAAGAAATAAATATGCAGAATCATTCATTAAGATTAATATCAATGTAAATTTGCTATGTTCATAATTATATTTTCTATTAGGCTTTTAACAGAAGAAGGGAAGATGATAAGGGGGGCTGAATTTCCCTCTCTCACCTGGGCCAGAAGTGTGGTAGCTCTTCACAGGCCCAATCCCAATGCTGATCAGTAAGGATGCTTTAATCTGCTCCATTTTTCTGACCTGGCTAGGTTTGCCCCTCCCTAAACAGCCTGGTGGCCCTCCATGCCTGGAGCATCAGTGGTCTTAGCAAGGATATCTAATTAGCCCAACTCCAGCTCAAGAACTGAGTTCAAGTGACCCACCAGCCTCAGCCTCCTCTAGTAGCAAAGATTAGAGTTATATGCCACCATACTCAGCAAAACGTACATCTTTTTTTTCCCCCCACAGAAAACAATACTACCTGATAGAGATGTTTTTCAAGAAATTATTCTGCAAAGCAACCAAACCTGGAAAATGAATTCAAGTTTCTGAACAAAACAAGCAATGACTACTTAGTTATTTTGTCCTTACCTTCACTTCTCTGTTAGAATTGTTCAAATATGGATTCATCAAATCTAATCTTAGCAGTTCAGCTGGCTTGCTTAAAGGAATACAGGGCAAAGTGGAAAGGTCCAAAAATACTCGTACAGGAACCTATAGAAAGAATATTGAAATTACAAGAAATGAACATAATTACTTTCAATTATGAGGAAGATTCACGATTACCTTAAAGAAACTTAAACACCTGGATAAAAGCAAGGGGTATAACTTTGGCAATTAACAGCACCAAAACTTGGTATCCATAAACTGCTTGTTTAGTATACATATTTTAGAGAATGCCAACTTCGTAATTAGAAGGCCAAGCGTATAATTTTATGTCAGCAAGAGATATTGCCAAATGTTCATTTATCAATTAAACATCCTTTAGGAGGTAAAAATCAATAGGTGGCTGTGACTATTCTAAGCCTATTCCTTTAAAAAAAATTTAGTAGCCTTGGAAATCTGCTTTTTATTGTCCCAGGTTTCCTTTTCAATCCAAACAGTTTCCTAAGTCCGCTAAGAGAATGAAGAAAAGGAACAGAAGGGTCAAAAAGGACATTTCCTATCAATTTACCCCCTATGTAACCCTTAGTCAAGTAACTTACATTTATTTCCCAAAGGGAATATTAATATTAACCTATTGCAAAATTAAGTATCAGACTGTAAATTTCTGGTGCCTTTTTAAGTAGTATTAAGATTGGGAGGTGGGACTTACTAGTTTGGCTTGAAGAAATAGTTTATCATTTCTCTAGAAGTACTTTAGCTACCATAACCTCCTCCCTTTTCACTCACCTGTGGAGCCCCATCAACAACAATGTAGCAAACATTTATTAGGAATCCACTATAGTAAGTGTTCCATGAGATGCAAAGATAAGGAATACACTGGTCCTGCCTCCATGGAGCTTAGAATGTAGTATGAAGAGTACAAAGTATGTCAAATAACTACATACCATCAGAACTAATCCTCAGATTCAAATGAAGAGCCAAGTTCTGACCCAAAGACCTCCCTAACCTAACCTCCTTCCTTCTCCTTCAGGGAGACTCATAAAGAAAGCATCCTGGCCCTTCCTTCTCAACTACACTTTTCCAAGTTCACTTAGTTGTACCACAAGGAATCCTCCCTCCTCCCACGGAGCAGCAGCCTCTTTCACCATTCTCCCCTTTCCTGTTAACCCTTGCTCAGTTATCCCAAGGGAATCATTTAACTTCCTTCACTTTATTCTTTTTTATAAAGCTGGAAAAGATGGTGGTTAACGAAGGTTAAGAGTGATGCTAGTGATAGACACCTATAACAAGAAAAAGGAAAGCCAGGCATTTTGCAGTGGGCATTAGATAACAGTAAAGAACAAGAATGCCATCAATTTAAAAAAAAAAACAAAAACAAAAAACAAAAAAAAACCCTTGAGTGTCCTGAACAGGTTCTTGGAGTCAAAGTCTGCATCTTCTTTTTTCTCATATTCCTGATTAAGCATGTTTTTTCCTCAATTATTAATAATGTGATAGCATTATCTTCTATAATTTTTCACTGTAGATATATATATACATATATACATATTTTAGCTAAAATATTACTTTTAGTGGCTGATATGGAACTCTTATGATCTTTTTTAAAAAATAGTTATTTTTTTCCAATTACATGTAAAGACAATTATTAACATTCATCTGTAACAAATTGTGAGTTCTAAATTTTCTCCCTTCCTTCCCTCTGCCCTTCCTAAAAAGGGGGTAAGAATTTTAAATAGCTTATATATGTGCAACCATGTAAAACATATTTCCATTTTAGTCATACTGTGAAAGGAGATCAAAAGGAAAAAAAATGAAAAAGATAAAGTAAATGAAAATAGTGTGCTTCGATCTGCATTCAGACTCCATACTTTCTCTAGATGTGAACTTCATGAATCCTTTGGAATTGTCTTGGATCGTTGTATTGCTGAGAATAGCTAAGTTATCCACAGCTGATCATCACACAATGTTGCTATTAGTATGTACAATGTTCTGATTCTGCTCACTTCACTCAGCATCAGTTCATGTAAGTCTTTCCAGGTTTTTCTGAAATCCTCCTGCTCATCATTTTTTATATTACAATAAGTATTCCATTATATTCATATACCACAATTTGTTCAGTCATTCCTCAATTGATGGCATCCCCTCACTTTTCAATTCTTTGCCACCACAAAAAGAGCTGCTATAAATATTTTTTAAGCATATAGGTCCTTTTCCCATTTTTATGAACTCTTTGGAATACAGACCTAGTAGTGGTATTGATGGATTAAAACGTATGCACAATTTGATTGTCCTTTGGGCATAGTTCCAAATTGCTCTCCAGAATGGTTGCATCAGTTCATATCTCCAGCAACAGTGCATTACTGTCCCAATTTTCCCACATCCTCTCCAATATTTATCATTTCCCTTTCCTGTCATATTAGATAATCTGATAGGTGGGAGGTGAGCTGTTTTAATTTGCATTTCTCTGATCAATAAGGATTTAGAGCATTTTTCCATATGACTAGAGATAGCTTTGATTTCTTTGTCTGAAAACTGTCCGTTCATATCCATTGACCATTTATCATTTGGGGAATGACTTATATTCTTACAATTTTGACTCAATTCTCTATATATCTGAGATATGAAGCCTTTATCAGAGAAACTTGCTGTAAAAATTATTTCTCAGCTTTGTTTGCCTTCTAATTTTGGTTACATTAGTTTTGTTTGTGTAAAACTTTTTAAATTTAATATAATCAAAATTATCCATTTTAAATCCTGTAATGCTCTCGATCTCTTGTTTAGTCATACATTCTTCCCTAATCCATTGATCTCACAGGCAAACTATTCCTTGTTCTCCTAATGTGCTTATGTTATCACCCTTTATGTCTAAATCATGTACCCATTTTAACTTTATCTTGGTATACAGTGTAATATTCTGGTCTATACCCAGCTTCTGCCATATTGTTTTCCAGTTTTCCCAGCAGTTCTTGTCACATGGTAAATTCTTCTCCCAGAAGCTGGAGTCTTTGGATTTAGCATTTACTACTTTGTCTTGTATACCTAATCTATTCCACTGATACACTACTTTGCTTCTTAATCAGTACCAGTTTTGATGACAGCTGCTTTATAATATATTTTGAGATCTGGTACAGCTAGGCCACTTTTCTTGGCGTTTTTTTTTTCATTAATTCTCTTGATATTCTTTACCTTTTTGTTCTTTCAGATGAATTTTGTTATGATTTTTTCTAGTTCTACAAAACAGTTTTTTGGTAGTTTGACTAGTATGGCACTGAATAAATTAATTTAGGTAGGATTGTAATTTTTATTATATTGGCTTGGCCTACCCATGAGCAACTGATATTTTTCCAATTGTTTAGATCTGACTTTGTGTGAAAAGTGTTTTGTAATTGTGTTCATATAGTTCCTGGGTTTGTCTTGGCACATAGACTCCGAAGTATTTTATGTTGTCTACAGTTATTTTAAGTGGAATTTCTCTTTCTATCTCTTGTTGCTGGGCTTTGTTGGTAACATATAGAAATACTGATGATTTATGTAGGTCTATTTTATATCCTGCAATTTTGCTGAAGTTGTTAATCATTTCAAGTAGTTTTCTAGTTGACTCCCTAGGATTCTCTAAGTATAGCATAATATCATCTTTAAAGATTGATAGTTTTGTTTCCTCATTACCTCTTCTAATTCTTTCCATTTCTTTTTCTTCTTTTATTGCTACAGGTAACATTTCTGGTACAATATCGAATAACAGTGGTGATGTTCCTTTCTTTCTTTTTTTTTTTTAAGGCAATTGGGGTTAAGTGACTTGCCCAGGGTCACACAGCTAGTACGTGTCAAGTGTTTGGTCTGAGGCCGGACTTGAACTCAGGTCCTCCTGACTCCAGACCTGGTGCTCTATCCACTATGCCACCTAGCTGCCCCTTGAATGACAGTGGTGATGAAGAGCATCGTTGCTTCACTCCTGATCTCACAAGGAAGGCTCTAGCTTGTCCCCATTACACATAATGCTTCCTGATGGTTCAAAATAGATACTACTTATCATTTTAAGGAAAGCTCCATTTATTTCTAAGCTCTCCATTGTTTTTAAGAATGGGTGTCAAAAGCCTTTTCTTTTTTCTTTTCTTTTTTTTTTTTTAAAGGCAATTGGGGTTAAGTGACTTGCCCAGGGTCACACAGCTAGTAAGTGTCAAGTGTTTGGTCTGAGGCCGGATTTGGACTCAGGTCCTCCTGACTTCAGGGCCAGTGCTCTATCCACTGCGCCACCTAGCTGCCCCCAAAAGTCTTTTCTGCATCTACTGAGATAATCATATGATTTCTATAGATTTTGTTATGGATGTGGTCAATTATGCTGACAGTTTTCCTACTACTGAACCAACCCTGCATTCCTGGTATAAATCCCACCTGATCAAAGTGTATGATCCTGGTTATATATTTCTATGATCTCCTTGCTAGTATTTTATTTCAAATTTTTGCATCAACATTCATTAGGGAAATTGGTCTATAGTTTTCTTTCTTTGTTTCGGCTCTTCCTGATTTGGTATCAGCATCATATTTGTGTTGTAAAAGGAATTTGGTAGGACTGCACATATTTTCCTAAATAGTTTATATAGTACTGGAATTAATTGTTCGTTAAATGTTTGGTAGCATTCACCTGTGAATCCATCTGGCTTTGGGAATTTTTTCTTTAGAGAGTTCATTGATAGCTTGTTCAATTTCTTTTTCTAAAATGCAGTTAAGTATTCTATTTCCTCTTCTGTTAATCTGGGCAACTTATATTTTTGTAAATAATCGTCTATTTTACTTAGACTGTCAGATTTATTGGCATACAATTGGGCAAAATAGCTTTTAATTATTGTTTTAATTTCCTCTTCATTGGTGGTGAATTCTCTCTTAATTTCTGATACTGGTAATTTGGTTTTCTTTTTTAAAATCAAATTAACCGTGGTTCATCTGTTTTATTGTTTTGTTTTGTTTTCATAAAATCAGCTCTTAGTTTCATTTTATTTTCTTTCAATTTTATTAATCTCTCCTTTGATTCTTTAGGATTTCCAATATGGTATTTAATTCGGGATTTTTAATTTGTTCTTTTTCTAGCTTTCTTAGTTGCATGCTTAATTCACTGATCTGCTCTTTCTGTATTTTACTGAGGTAAATGTTTAGAGATACACATTTTCCCATAAGTACTGCTTTGGCTGCATCTCATAAATTTTGATATGTTGTCTCATTATTGCCATTCTCTGATGAAAATACTGTTTCTATGATTTGTGGTTTGAGCCACTCATTCTTCAGGATTACATTATTTAGTTTCCAATTAATTTTTAATCTATCTCTCCATGGCCCTTTACTAAATGTAATTTTTACTACATCATGATCTGAAATGGAAGCATTTAATATTTCTGCCTTTCAGCATTTGATTGTGAGATTTTTATGCCCTAATACATGGTCAATTTTTGTGTAGGTGCCAAGTACCGCTAAAGAAAAGGTATATTCCTTTCTATCCCCATTAAATTTTCTCCAAAGGTCTATCTTATCTAACTTTTCTAAAATTCTATTCCTCTCCTTAACTTCTTCCTTGTTTCTTTTGTGTTAGATTTATCTAGTTCTGAGAAGGTGAAGTTGAGGTCCCCCACGAGTATAGTTTTACTGTCTATTTCCTCCTGTAACTCCATTTAACTTCTCCTTTAGAAATCTGGATGCTACACCATTTAGTGCATACATGTTTAGTATTGCTATTACTTCATTGTCTATGGTACATTTTAGCAAGATGTAGTTTCCTTCCTTGTCTCTTTTAATTAGATCTGTTTTTGCTTTTGCTTTGTCTGAGATCATGATTGCTACCCCTGCTCTTTTTACTTCAGCCGAAGCATAATATATTCTGCTCCAGCCTTTTACCTTTACTCTGTGTGTGTCTCTCTGCCTCAAATGTGTTTCTTGTAAACAACATACTGCAGGATTCTGGTTTTAAATCTACTCTGCTACGCGCTTCCATTTTATAGGTGAGTTCATGCCATTCACACTCACAGTTACGATTACTCTATCTTTCCCTCCATCCTATTTTTCCCATTTATACATTTCTCTCTGTCTCCTTTCACCCTGTCCCTCCTCACCAATGTTTTGCTTCTGACCACCACCTTCACTCAATGTGCCCTCCCTTCCATTAGTGCCCTTTCCTCTTTTCTTGTCCCTTGCCTCTCCTACTTCCCTATATGGTAAGATAAATTTCTATAACCACCTGTGTATGTTATTTCCTCTTTGAGCCAAATCTGATGAGAGTAAGATTCAGGCAATGTTTCTTTGTTTCGGCTCTTCCCTTTTCCCCCTCCTCTGTCACAGGTCTTTCACGCCTCTTCCTGTGATATAATTTACCCCATTCGGCCTATTCCTTCCTTCTTCTCCCAGTGCAATCCTCTTTCTCACCCTTTAACTTTTTTAATATCCTATCAAAGTCAACTTATACCTACACCCTCTATATATACTCCTACCTGCTCTAATAAAGATATAGTTCTTAAATTATAAGTATCATCGTCCCATGTAGGAATGTAAACAGTTTAATCTTATTCAGTAACATGTTTTTTTTTTCTTTCCTATTAACCTTTTTATGCTTCTCTTGAGTTTTGTATTCGAAAATGGAATTCTCTATTTGTCTCTGGTCTTTTCATCAGGAATGTTTGGAAGTCCTCTATTTCACTGAATGTCCATTTTTTCCCCCCTGAAAGATTATGCTCAATTTTATTTGATAGTTGATTCTTGGTGGTAATCCAAGCTCCTCTGCCTTCTGGAACATCATATTCTAAGCTCTCCAATTCATTAATATGGAAGTTGCTAAATCCTATGTAATCCTGACTGTGACTCTTCAATATTTGAATTGATTTTTCTGGATGCTTGCAGTATTTTCTCCTTAACCTGAAAATTCTGGAATTTGGCTATAATATTCCTGGGAGTTTTCATTTTGGGATCTCTTTCAGTTATTATTTTACCCTTCGGTTGTAGGATATCAGGATAGTTTTCCTTGATAATTTCTTCAAAAATTATGTATGGGCTCTTTCTTTGATCATGGCTTTCAGGTAGTTTAATAGTTCTTAAATTATCTCTCCTAGATCTATTTTCCAGGTCAGTTGTTTTTCCAGTGAGGTATTTTACATTTTCTTCTATTTTTTAACTCTTTTGGTTTTGTTTGATTGATTCCTGATGTTTCACAGAGTCAGTAGCTTCCACTCACTCAATTCTAATTTTTAAGGAATTATTTTCTTCAGTTTTTGTACCTCCTTTTCCATTTGGCCAATTCTACTTTTTTTTTTTTTTTAGTGAGGCAATCGGGGTTAAGTGACTTGCCCGAGCTCACACAGCTAGTACGTGTCAAGCCAATTCTACTTTTTAAAGGAATTGTTTTCTTTTTCTAAGCTGCTGGCTCTTTTTTCATGATTCCCTATGTATGTTTAACCAACTAAGTAAATTAATCTGCACCATTTCATAATCATTTCATAGTTTGAAAAATCATGTAAAAAAACCTGTAGAACCTGAGTTAATGACATAGAACCTCGAGTAAACAGTTGTTTGTTGTTTTTTCCTGAAATAATGCTATCACAGGAACCCCAGATGTTCTACACTCAAAAACTGATTTCTGAAACCTTTGGAAAAAAGATAAAAGCTTCAGAAATTACTTTAAAATGCCTTACATGTGGTCACTGTATTTTAATGGACTTGAAGCTAGGAATCTCACAAAATCTCTAGGTACAACATCACTGTTGAAAGCAAGATTAGAAAACTAAGTTTACTACTGCACTCTCCTTGCTCCTTCTTCTCATTCTTGTCCAAATACCAACAAAAATTCTCCTTCCTGTAGGAAGCATGCTGTTTCCCTAAAACAGATGATCAGTAGAGTGCCTAAATGGTTTCCAAGGTATTCTGATGTTGATAACTGGAAGCTGACAGTATCTTTATTTCTAGAATCCTGGTTTATAAGAAACCTAGGTTTTAAAATTTTTAAAAATAGTAACAAGAAACCTACCTGGAACTGGTTAATGAAAGGTGCTATATTCAATCCAAGAGTTGGCTCAGTCCCTTGAACAGCATTCTCTTCAACCAGTGTCTGTGATTCCACAAGCATCCCCAACATTAGTACATACTGAGGAAAAATTTTGCCTCCAGATTGTAATAAACATCTGTAAAAGGTAGAAATTTTTAAAGAAAATTTGAACTACGACATATATTTCTAAATACCACAAGGAAGCATAAACATGTGAACTTAAAAGCTGTTTGCTTTTCAAAGTTGAAAAAAATAGTACACATCAATACTATCTATTTATATTAAAAAACAGATACGAAGATTATCACCAGATAATTGTAGCCTGCCTGCATTCTACAGGACCATCAACTGCATAAACTTAGTACCTAGTAATGGAAAGTATTGAGATCTTGTTCAATAAACTCCGGACAAATGACCAGGATATTCCAACCAGTACTAGGGACAATGTGCCCCAAATTGTGGGGATAATGAATTTGGACCAGGTGGGTTTGGGGGGTGGAGGGGTGCCAGCCCAAGTTTGCTAGACCCACCCACAAGGATGAAAGAGGGTTATATGATTGGAACAGGTAAAAAAACTTAAGTCGAGAGTAGAAACTGAGGAAATGTAAACTTACTAAATGCTAGAAGAAATAATGAGAATAATATATATTCATTTCTTTAATTTGGAATTACCTAATTTAGATGGGAATATCCTTCAATCTCTCCAAATTAAGGAGGTTTTACTCTTTTTAGAAATTAGTATTATTCTAGTCTCTTACATACTAAATTTCTGCTGAAAGAAAAATTGTCAGTGACCAAAATCTATGACTAATGAGTTCCAGAAGACTTAAAAACAAACAAAAAAAAATTTTAAAGAACATTTATAAACAGTCTAACAGAACTATCACCTCATTGCTATTGGCTAGTAGACCATCCCAAAATACTCATTTCACTATTTGTATAATACAATAGCATGGAGGTCATTCTGGGTTTCCTAAAGCTATGCCAGCTGGCAGGTCCTTCACCAGGCTAAAAAGACTTCAAGTATAGGCTCAGCCAAAGCCTGTGTGTCTCTGTGAACTACAGAGAAGTTTAGCAAGGTTTTGGTGACACTCATTATCAGAATCTCAACTACTGGGTAATGAATTTTATTTATGCTACGACAACTCATGAAGGCCACTGGTAAGAGAAAACCAGACTGATGAAATCACATATTTAATTATTTTAAGTATAGTACAATGGCAGAAAGAAGATGCTCCTAATTTTACATCATTATGGACTGATCAAGTTTTATATATGCAGTAGTAAGGTTGATGATGGTTCTTGGAATGAAGATGGTAATTTGATAAAAAAAAAAAAAACCAGCTTGTATAAAAGTCTTTAAAAAAAATTTTTTTTTCTAAACCAAGGAAGTCTAGGCAAGGAAACGGAACCCTGACGAAATCTACTAAATTAAGAAAAGGAAAGTGATGGATACAGAGAACTATGGAAAGATTTGTGTGAACTAGGGGGAACAACTTGTACCATGACTACAACATTGTAAACCACAACAACAGGTTGACTTACAAACTCTGATCAATGCAATGACCAACCATGACTCCAGAAGATAGTTGATGATGAAGCATGCTACCCAACTCTTAACAGAGAGATGATGGATAAGCGGGGCAAAATAAGATATACATTTTTAGACAAGGCCAACTGGGGATCTGTTTTGCTTGACTAGGATTATTTGTCACAAAGGAAGGTTTTGGTAGTTTTGTCTTTTTAGTAAATAGTGAAATAGTGAGGAGGAATGTAAGAAAGGGGGACAAGTGATAATGGTGTTAAAAAAATTTTTTTCAAATTACAAAAAGAAGTTAAAAGTTAAAATAAAATTAAAATCTTGTCCCCCACCCCAATCTGTCTTTACATATATAGAAGAAGATTGGATAAGTTTTCATTTCCATTAATATTCTCAAGTTTTTTACATATAAAAAGTCACATCTCATTTAACAGATATATTTACCTAGATGTGGGGAATCTGGGGCCTCAAGGCCACATGTGGCCCTCTATGTCCTCAAGTGCAGCCCTTTGACTAAATCCAAACTTCCCCACCTCTGGAGTCCCAGGCAAGGGTCCCCTTAAACAACTAGACTGGGATAGGTCTGACTAGAATATGTCAACTCAAAATTTACCTACCAATCATCAGATAAAAGAAAATATTTAGGTAAATTTGAAATATCTATGTTAATTATTGCTAAGAGGATGTTACTTCAACTCTACTAAGGAATTTTGTTTCTAATGACTACATTGTTTTTCATCAAAATGTCCAATTTCAGGGGACTTTGAAGCTCTCTTTCTGATACTATGAAAGAAGCTGTCCTCACAGACAGCTTAACATTTTATTTTATGAGGTCTCTTTCAAAATGTGTTGACTTTGCTTACTAAATCAAAGATGCGCTGTTCATAAAATTCCCAGATTCTAAAAATGCAGAACTGGGAGATCAAACAAAATACACCTTAAGAAAACTGACACAAGTGCCAAGAAATTTGCTTTGAGCAGTTTCACTCTATAAATACTTTAATTCTCAGTTAAGTAGAAACATTTATTAAACCACAATATTACATTTCCCTAAATAGGCATTTTCATGCCAATATAGCTATGTTAATTTTTTTTTTTTGGCTAGGCAATGGGGTTAAGTGACTTGCCTAGGGTCACACAGCTAGTTAAGTATTATGTGTCTGAGGCTGGATTTGAACTCAGGTCTTCCTGACTCCAGGGCCGGTGCTCTAACCACTGTGCCACCTAGCTGCCCCTACATATGTTAATTTTCAATGATTAATCCTCCTGGCCCCTTACAAAACTGAGAATCTCACCTTCTTACTCATTAAATAAACACAAGCAAAAGATGCCTTCCACCTGGGCATTTTTCTGAACTGAGCTGACAAAAGTTCTTAATCTTTAGGTAGGTAACACTCAAGATGTAATTTTAATACCCTGACAAATCACTGGCACAGCCAAGCCAATTCAGTGGAAGAACTGTCTGATTTCTTAAAATAGGACAAGTATAATACGATATGCTAAAACGTCACTAAATAGATCAGAACAAATACAATTATCTGCTAAAATGTAATGATTCATTTTACTGGAAAAAAAAACAATCTAGTTTTTCTTGAGAGTACAGACAGCATTGAAATAGACTATCCTCAAAGCTTCCTGTTTTTTACCTACATCCAAAGATACAGTTTATATTTGCCACAAGAGGGTGCCATTCCACGAATTTGAAAAAACATACACTAGGTTAAAGAAAGCATGAAAAGAGAATGACCCACTTAAATATGCTGTAAGAAGAAAGAGAATTGTAAATCAACTAATCCACAAACAACTGGCTAAATCTGCTGTCAAAAACTGAATTGCCAGAAGGGTCTCCATAAAAAACTCTGAGCACTAAAACAAAAAATTGATGAAGAACTAGTTCATATGTCTAGCCACAATCCTATCCAGGTAGTAGACAGAAAATTCTTAAAATGTATACTCTATATTATTTCCAAGTTAAAATATTCCAGAAGCCATTCATGGTCTCAATGTTGTACTAAGCCAAGTAATGTTCTTTAGCTACGTTCAGATGATAAAAATTTTAAAAAACTTTCATGTCTGTTTAGTTTTGCTGGCATTAAGAGTGTTTTGTTGCTGCTCATACCGCAGCTGTTGCCAGACTCCTCAAAGGAATCCTCTGCAAGGCCAAATGGTGCTTCAGAGCCATCTGTGCCTTTGATGGTGAAAATATGTTCCTACTCCAATTCTAGCCATAAATGGCCAAAGTTCGAAACGGAGAAACTCTTTTATGGAAGTAGAGGGAGGTTGGATTTGTACCATCTCTTCTCCCTAAATATGTGCCATTCTTCCCCCTTCCCTTTTTCAGAAGGCTTAAATATAGCAACACAGAATCTTAAGTGCGCAAAGTTTTCATGACACTGCACACAAAATCCATGAGAAGATAAGAAGGCATGGGAGGACAGGCCCAGCAAGTAATCAGGACACTCAGAAAAGAATGCAATGGACAATGGATATGAAAGGTACCTCGGAAGACAGCTGGTTCTGAACTACCTTGTTTCTCATACATTCATTCCCTTTTATCTGTTTTCTCCCACATGCCAAACTCTGATCTCTATAAAATCTTTATGAGAATGATCTATACACATATCAAGGGTATTCTGGGTGAAAATATGAGAAGTGAATAAAAGAAGGCTTTTTACAATTTTCTACAACAGACTACATTTTCAGACACACTGGTCTGAATGTAATGAAGGCAAGATCCCACTGTGTTTATTTTATGAAAAAGTTATTTTTCCTAAGTCGAATCTTAAATGTTCTCTACCAAGTGTCTCCTAGGTGTACCTTAAGATCATACAAGATTTCCTAACAGATACACTCAGAGAAATTACTTTTATTCAACTGTGCCCTGATCTTCAATATCAAGCAAGGCATCAAACAGGAGGATGTAAACTTGCTAAAAGATGTTTGCCACGGTAACAGAGAATACCCTGTGCGGAGTCCAAATGGAAGAGGGGTTCCACAGAGGTAGTTAGGTCCTCCACATGCTTCTATTTGCCATGTGGATTGCTGCAACATACAACATACAATACTACCAGAACAATGAGATCCACAACCTTTCAAAAGAGATGGAGCTAACAATGCACAAAAGGAAACAAAAACAGATGAAGATATTTATCATTCATACAGTGATATGCAGTTAGACTGCAACCCATTTAGGCCGTCCAGTGTGACTACTTATACATCTTATACAGGCACTAACAATTAGCTAAGCCCATTAACTGAACAGGCAAAAGAAAGCAGTTGGGTCGAACTTGCAAAACTGCACAGCATTCTCAACAATTACAAGCTGCTCCCTTTGTAACACTGTTACTCTTCCAATGATACTTCATAGCAACAAATCATGCAATATCACATGCTCAAGGATTGAAACTGTGAGTGACCCAAAGAGCAGTGAAGGAACATATACTGAATCGTATCGACAATGATGATGTAGATATGCATGTAAAATACGGCACAGAAGTACCTTCAAGGAAAGGTCTGATCAGAAGAGGAAGAGCGTCAGTTGTGCAAAAAGAGCAAGAGATAAGAGACAGCCAGCCAAGTGCTGCATTTTTACCCAGAGAATTTGAGAAGACTTGGAGGAAGGCCTCCACCACTTTTGGTACATCTTCTATGTAGATTGACATAAAAGGACAAGAATCACATAGAATGAAAAGCGTGGATGTGCTGTGACCTGTATGTATTACTAGAAAAAATACCCAATCAATGGAATCCTGAATCTACTAAATTAATGAAATATCTTGTTTCATGACTATTACTGGTTCATCTTTTTTATTAAGGTACAACTTTCAAACAATAATCTGTGAACACTCATTCAATCTGACAAGTATTTAGTGAGCATGTAAGATATTCAAAACTGTGAGAAGCATCTTTGGGAACTACACTCAAGGAGCAGTTATGGGAAATAAGACAGGTAACTGAAAGTTAAAATATGGCAAGTGATAAGGAGAACTAAAAACCCCATACCATGACAGTTCAGAGAAGAATACTCAAAATTTGGTCCTTACTTAAGGAAAACATTAACTTTACTAACATCTGGTAGATTAAATTTATTTTCTCTATAGTAGTTCCCTATACCCTCTCAGGCCCAGAAGCAAATATTATTTACTCAAAACCCTGCACTGAAAAATTTACGAGGTAAAAAACAAGGGGCAGCTAGGTGGAGCTGTGGATAAGAGCTCTGGCCTTGTCAAGACGACCTGAGTTCAAATCCAGCTTCAAACACTTGGCACTTACTAGCTGTATGACCCTGGGCAAGTCACTGATTGCCTCACCAAAAGCAAAAAAACAACAAACATATCTGCAATTAGCAAAGAAAGCCATTAAGTTGTATACTTATCTACTGTAGCCAACCACACAAATTATACTTCCTTTTAGTATGATCAATCACCCACAAAGGACAATTTCCTAGCTTATAATCCTCCCTCTATCCCCATTCTCACCTCCAAAATATCTAACCTGTAGAAATTCCTTTCCATCATTTCTTAATATATCTTATTATATTACTTAATGTAAGACATGCCTAAAAAGTGAAAATACTGACTAATAAACATACCAGAACTTATATATTTCAATAAATATTACACTGGCAAAGTAGTCAACTTGGATACCACACTTATAACAATAACAGTATTATTCACAAACATTTTGGGAGCTACCTTCAATGCTAAGTTTGTGGGGCTACCAAAAAAAAATCAGTCTCATTACATTCAAACTTGCTAATAAAGAATACTAGAAACTCAAATTTGTATTTATGGAGATTTACAGTTAACAAAGCTCTCTTAACCAAACTACCTAGTTTGACTATCTGTTTTCACCAGTCTTGGCTCTTAATGACTTTTGGCTAGTTCCAGAAATCAAGCCCACCCTCAGAACTTGGAAATTTGCCACAACCAACAATCCTCAATCACAAGACTGTGTTACAGTCTTCTGAAGGCAATTACAAAAGGGGAGTTCCAAAATGTCTCACAGCGTAAGTGGAGTAAGTGTATGGCTTGGTAATGCAACTATACTGAAGCGTACAATATGTTTTGGTGTTTTTTCTGGCACTTTCACCATTTGTTTCTTCCTTCAATTCATCTGTCTTTTACTAATCAAGGTCATTTTTCCGACCTGTACTCTACATTTCCTGCAAGAGTTCCAATTGACTTATGAAATCCTTAAATTTTTAACATATTTTCCCTACTATACCTTGTCCGAAAGAATTCCCCCAACTTAAGTATTCCTGTTCTTTCAAATCCAACTAAAAGAACTGTAAGACCTAAAGGTTTACTCAACTTTCTACTTTCAATGCCAGAAAGAAAAGCCAAGCTTCCTTTAAATGATAATCCCCACCCACCCCTAAAGCAGATCATGGTCAGAACTGAGTAGGCTGAAGACCTTGTACTGGAGCCTAGCAAAGAGGGATTTTCACCCCTTAATATAACTTTAAGTGGGTTTTTTTGCACATCTAAAGTATAGAAAAAATTAAATCATTCCTACACACTATGAACTTTGAACCTACATTCTAATTTTGTCACTAGAGACTATCCATTTGCTGTTCTCTCTATGGACTGCCCCATCTACCAGTAAGAAGTTTCCTTCAAAACAGCATTCCTGCTTAATAAAAAACATTACAAAAGATAAGAACCCTATTAAGGAGAATAACATGAATAAGAGTTTGTGATTTTCCATGCACACAAAACATTAAGTGTCATTTTCATAGTTGACAAAAGTGCTCTGTTAGTTGTTAAGCATCACGGGTGCAGACAAACATTTTCTCAGGAAAACTTTCATATTGTACTCTACCTGGATATTGCTGCCTTTTCCATCATCTCTTGTTGAATAAGGCCAGACGTCTCAATGACATCCAAGATGATAATACTCCAGAGTTTGTCTGATTTTGGTCTCTGCAGAACTGCACAGTCATCTTCCACACATCTCAACCAAAATTCGAGTGTGTCTCTAGGAAAGTGGTTGGCTTCAGAAATGAGATCAAGAGTGAGACGGTGCTGTTCTTTTTCCACAGAACTGTATGGCTTTACTGGCCCCAGTGTCCCAGCAATTATGGGCAGAATGGAAAAGCCCTCAGACACATCTAACACATAGAAAGGGTCAGGGGCGATATGTAGGGAATTTCTATCTTGCGAATTTCCAGAGTTCATTTCACCACCAATACCTTCAACATCCATCTGTTTATTTGGGGTCAATGCTGTCAGCACTTTGCTCATGGCAGCTTTAAATCCTTCATGATAGGGAACATTGTTAAGCAAAGCTATTTCTGTGGATTCCAATGTGCATATCTGCCTGATTTCATCTGGTTTACTGGTTTGAAGGCTAGCCAGGGCACTACAGAGTTCGGCCTCACTGCGTAAAACAAGAGACTCTTCCTCATTTTTGTTGGAACCTCTCTCAACATCCGTTCCATGATCAGCATTTAAAATATGAATATTCTGGATTCTTAGGTAACAGTCCTGGCAGGAAACTTCCATCATCACATGGTCTCCAGGCTTCACAAAATAATCTTCAATAGGGTTGGGAGTTGGGGGGGGGAGGGTGGAGAGAGAGAGAAATACAATAATAATTAATTCAAATAAAAAAGTCTATGTGGGGTTGAGTGAATTTTGGAAATAAAATTAGAAGACATTAAGCATTGTTATATTACTTTAAAGAAGAATAAAACATACATCTACCTTCAAAGGGCTTATAATTTACCTGGGAAATGAGCTTTATAAACTGTAAAGTACTAAACATATGAGATTTTAATGATTAAACAGGAAGATATAGAAAAGTTAAATAATAAGAGTAGAAGAGATTAGGTGTCTGGAAGTTTCTTGGAACCTGCTCTGGACCTTCAATTCAACAAACATTAAGTATCTACTATATACAAGGCACTGTAGCAGGCACTAACAAAAGAAAAAAAAATAGCCTCTGACCTCAAAGAGTTTACATTCCACTGGAAGGGTACAACAGGTAGATGGATAAATAAATATTAAATATCTACAAAGCATATGAATATGTATACATACAAAGTAACTTCGAGAGGGAACAAAAAGTCTTCTGCAGGATGTGAAGCCTAAACTGTGCTCTGAGGGAAGCCAAGTCTTCGATGAAGCTGAGGGGAGGAGGTAGGGCTTCCTGGATGTGGGGAACTAATTGTAAAAGAGCAGAAGAAAGAGATGGAATGCCAGGAATGGAGAACTGCAAGCAAGATAATTTGACTAAGACAAAAAGCTTGTGACTTAGAACTGGAAAGGTGGGAGCTATACTGCACTACGGAGGGCTTAAAGCCAAGCTATCCAAGAGCCAACAGGCAGCCACTAAAGATTCTTTAGTAGAAGAAATGCAGAAATAGATGATTTCAGGGAGACATGAAAAAATTCTATGAACTAATGCAAAGTGAAGTGAATAGAAACAAAAAAACCAATTTATGTGATAACATCAATCTTATTAAAATGAACAACTGTGAGGATTTTTATAAACTAATGAAGAATGAAATAAGCAGAACCAGGAAAACATTTCATCTGACAATAATACTAAAAACAAACAACTATAAAAGCTGTAAGAACTATGATCGATACCATGATCATTCCTGATTCCAGCCTTTGGAGCAAGATGGAGAAGGAGAGGGGAACCAATGCCTGCCCCTTTAGTCACTAAACAGAGGCTTCTTTTTTTTTTATGAAATAGTTTTTATTTCAAAGTTTGTTCATACCAGAAGAACAAATATTCAAAATAAAGTTAATTTTTTCATTTGACATTTCAGTGAGCAAAAAGCTTGATTACAACCTATCTCAGTTATACCCCTAGTTACCTTGTGAATGATAACGGAGGTTTTATTACCCTTTAGACACACACATAGGACAGGCCTTTTCTGATTCAGTTTGGTCCTCACTTTTCATCTTAAAAGTAGACTAATAAATTTTATGCCGAGGAAATATCTGGCAACAGAGCAACATATTCCTATGTTAATTATTTTTAAAAATTGTTTGAGTGATCCTAATTAAGAATCAGGATGCTAATTGTCATTAATGAAATCAATGAACAACCATTAAGTGCCTACTATGTGCCAGGCAGCATATAATTTCTTTTTTCTTGAGATTAGTTTTTCCAGTTTACTTGCAGGGACATGTTTTTTGCTAGGTGGAATTACAGTAATTTTGATAAAAATTCTAGTCATTGTTTAAAGTCTTATGTACAAGTGGGGAAAAAAATCCCAAGAGATTTTTATTTAGAATATTCAGAAGAGCCTCTGCAAGTAATGAAAATTGTGTATCAGCAGTGATAATACATACTTTCTCTCACCTTTAAGGTTTAGACATTTAGCACTTAAGACAAATAATATTTCCTCATGGCTGAAGAAGAAAAGAGCACAAGACTTGGAATCAGAAGACCAACATTCAAATTTTTGGCAAACTACTTTGTTAGTCTGAGCCTCAGCTACCTCATCTAGAAAATATTAGTATCGCCATTTTCTAGATGGGGTAGCTGATAATATGCATAAAAAACATTGTCCATTAGCAAAGGTGATTACAGCACAGAGTTAATGAGTCACAACTCCAGTCAATGACACTTCTAATCCAAACCTCTTGAAAATCTGAGCCCTTGGTCATGAATTTGACCATGTGATGACTGTGCAGATGATTCCACTCAACCTATTAACATGTGGCTAGCAGCCATTGAATCAGTAGCATATTCATATATGAAAACAGCACTTACCTAAATGTGGTTCAGAATTTGCTATAAATCACTCAAAATTGTCCATCATTTACTATACTCACTCTGGAGAAGCAGGAAGACCTAATCACTTTCTGAGGAAATTTTCAGTCCCTAGAGTCTACCCTATTCTTTTCCCACTAAAAAGCTTGTTACTAGGTGACAAGGCAGATGACGCTCAGAGTCAGATTGTCTGGAAAGAATTCAGGAGGCAGAGGTTCTCCTAATCAAGAGGGCTTTATTGACACAAAAGCAGCAGGCTAGTCCCTAGGAGCACTAGGGACTTTTGAAAAAAGACATAGGCATGCTTTTATATCCAAGTTTTGGGCACTCAGCTAGGCTTAGGGGTATGCTCCTACTTGGGCAGTTAACCACAGAGAAGGATGTCAGGAAGGGGGAATCAGGTGTGTTGGGTATTTTACAAAACAGTTGAGAGATGTGGTCACATAACAGAGAACTTAACCTGCACCATTCAAGGATGTGGGCACAAAAATAGGAGTTAGTCATATACACAGAAAATAACAAGGTTTTCTTGTCAACAGAGAGAGCCCCCTGATACTGGACAGATTTAGATTTAGGCAAGGCTCTCATTATTGCTTGGCAGAAGTCAGCTTCCATCACTTGGTACTTGTTTTGAGAAATATTGAGACATATAATAAAAATGCCGATACTATCTAAATTAATTTGTAGACTAAACCAATCAAACTACCAAGACGACACTTCAGAGAGCTATAAAAGAAATAACAAATGATTCACTTGGAGGAATAAAAGGTCTAGCATCTTTAAATTAGAATGTAAGCTCCTGAGGGCAGGAACTTCTTACTTTTTTTGTTCCAAAATGCCTAGCATAATACTTGGCTCATGATAAAACCTATAAATACTTGCTTGTTGAGTAACCAGAATATCGGAGGAAAATAACAAAAAAGAATGACTTCAAATTATACTACAAAACAATAACCATCAAAACTATTTGGTACTGGTTAGAAAAGCAGATGAATAGAACAAACACCCTTCCCAAACCCTACAGAGCTGAATATGACAGGGAAATGAATAAGTTAATACATATAATATTCCATATCAAGGTTAAGGTACTGAACTTTGAAAGACAGGTATGTAACTGATGATATATATTTATGTAGAATCAAAATGAGAGAGCCAGAAGGGACTTCTTTTGAAATGATGGATGATTTGAGATGAAGGATAAGATTCTAGGAGACCACAGGTTGGAGGAGTGAGAGTCTCACTCAAACAAGAAGTCCCCTTCCTCAAATTAGAACCATGAACATGAACTAAATCATTGATACCTTTTTTCTCCACTCAGTTGTTTTGGGCCACAACTCCATTTATCTGACAAGTATTTATTAAGTATCTACTATATAGTTAGAAATGGGGCCACATGGGTGGACGGAGAGATAGAGATCCTTTCCTCAAAGAGCTTATATGGGAGGAGGAGGGGTGGAACTGCACCATTGGACAAGCCTGAAAGGTAGGTTGGAGCCAAGGATCTAAATGCCAAACAGAAAAGTTTATTTCTCCTCCTAGAGCATAGATTCTTAACCAGAGTCCACAGATACCCAAAAGGTCTGTGTATAGATTTCAGGATATCCTTCCAGAAAAAAAACAAAACAAACAAAACCTTTAACTGAGATTTACTAATTTCTTCAATTATAATTTTTAAAAAACAATAACAAATCATTATTCTATGGAGTCTATAGGTTTCAACAGACTGCCAAAGTGCTCCATAACACAAACAAAAGATTAAGAATCTTTGTCCTAGAGGAATGGTCCCTTAGCAGGGGGAAGGGTAAAGTGGATAGGGAAGAATAAACTAGAAAACCTAGGTGATGAAAAGAAAAAATATTAATAAAAAAAGTTTAAGTTTAAAAATTTAGGTAAAAAATATCAAAGTTCCATGCTGTTCATTATTTACTGAATTTATTATAACACTTTATTTATTAATAATTCTTCAGACAGCATATTAATTCAAGAAAGATTAATTTATTCTTAAATGTTTTACAGTAAAAATACTGGGAATGGACATTAGTCCAGAAGAATTTAATTTGTTCTTAAATATCTTTATTGTGTAAACAATAGGAAATATCAATTAACAATTTGTAAGAAGAAAAAGGATATTAGTAAAAATGAAATAAACTCATATAAAAACTGAATTTCCACAAATCTTTGCAGTTTTGTAGAATTATTATTGCCAAAACTTTAAGGGGATCATCTTTTCACTGGGGAAATTTCTAAGAAACAAGGCAAGAAGCAGTTAGATGGTGTAGTGGATATAGCACTGGCCCTGGGGTCTGGAGGACCTGAGTTCAAATCAGGCCTCAGATACTTACTAGCTGTGTGACCTTGGGCAAATCACTTACCCCAAAATGCCTCACAAAAAAAAAAAGAAGATTTCTGGTAAAGAAAATAAAAGCAACTTCTATAAAGAATTTTTACTCTGGCTCTTAAAGTGTCCTTTCCCTAAGACCGAAAAGATCAGGAAAATAAAAATAGAAAAAGGAGCCTATTTAATATAATTTATCAATTTATCCTTTACTAAGATCAAGGTCTTCAGCCGAATCCAATTTCCCTCTTTTGTCCTCCTCCAAACCTTAAAACTTCTCTATGTCTTTACCTATTACATTTTTTTTTACCTTTATCTTTATTTTTCTCCAGTGTCAAAATGTGTGTGTACGTGAGGGTGGGGTGGAGGAAATCTTCTTACCAAAGCCCTCTTGCACTTCTGTTCTTGATCATACCTCCTTCTCCTCTAGCATTCTCCCTCAATCATTCCCATCTCCAATCTCTAGTCTTATAATTATGTTCAGATCTCTCTTATTTTTCCCCAAAACCTTTCCTTAACTTGTCATAATTAAAAGGGGAAAAAAAAACTAGGGGAAAGGTAGGCAAACTGCAGAAGTGAAGAAAGAGAGGCTATGGGAAAAGAGTAGCATCAATGCAATTTATGCAATACTACCACCAAGGGCAAAGAACTGAATTAAAAGAAGAAAGTTAACAAAAGGATTTTTAAAGTAATATTAAAGAAACAAATGGAGGAAAATAAAAGTCTAAAACTCACAGATTTACATGTGAACAGACTAAACAATCCAAAAAAACAAAAGAGAAGGCAGAAGCTCACCATCAGTAGTAAACAAGAAGCACATCTAAAAAGCAAGACATAGATCTTCCTATCTTTGAGGATGACTCTATCTTCTAAGCTACATTCCCTCTCACCAAAGCACATGCGTTCCTTAATTTATGGATCTTAGTCCACTGAGTCAGAGCTTTTCAATTTCACTTTTAGAGTTAAGCTCTCAATTCGGGTGCGTCAACAATCAGTTAATTATTTATTACACCAAGAGTCCTACGAGGTAAAATATTTCATAGACACCAAAGGGTGTAAACTAAACTGATAAGAGGAGGCAGCTAGAGACTCAGTGTATGTGTCCTTGATTTCCATTCAGTTTCTAACAGTCAACTAGATCAGTGAATTCTCCCCCACAAATGATAATGGAAATGGAAACTACGATTTTCCAATCCCACTAAACTAAAGTTCAAGTGACTCAGCAAGATGGCAAAGAAAAAGCACCAGTGTAATGAAATGTACTAACACAGAGCATGTTGGGATCCTAGGATCATGATCACAGGAACAATAATTTGGACTGAAAAGGAGCTCAGAGTTCAGACTGTCCAACTCCTTCTTTGTCTCACAGGTGAAGACACCCAGGCCAAGAGAAGGGGAAGTGACATGCCTAAGGTCACATTAAGTGACAGAAGTAGGATCTGAACCCAGATCTTCTTACTCTAAACTGAGTGCACAACACTGTTTCTCAAAATCTTCCATTTGATTACAGTCCTTTAAACAAGTTCCATCAATACCAAAGTATAAGTAAGTATATGCCCACTGTGTGTGGGGGGCGGGGCGCGGAGTGGGGGGAGGACCACGCAGCCGAGGGGGGTCACAGAGCCAGCAGGTTTCAGACAGGACTTAAACCCAGATCTTCCTATCTTTGCAGCTAATTCCTTATCTCCTAGTTGGCCCTCGCCCAAATTTATGCTGTCCCTAAAATGAAAACTTGTTGAAAGCCACAGTGTTTAAACTTTACTTTTAGAGTACGTGTGAAAATAAAATTATATAAACTCCTGAAAGGTAAAATAAAATTCCCTCTCCTGAGTGAGGTTACATTAAACTATAACTTCCTCTTCCCACCCCTCCCTTCCCCTCCACCATCACCAAAGGAGCAGGACTAAAGCAAACCCATCATAAAGCAAACTAAACACACACCTGGGAGGTTCTGCACAGGGTAGACAGCTTGTTCCCAACATGTCTCTTCATGAGGACTTGTTGATAAACTGTGTTCATCATCAAGCTGAAGCACAAACCAAACTATGATGGCATCTAGCACTCCTTCCTGTATGACAGGAACACTTATCTGATGAGGCTTTTTGGTTGCAAGGCTTTTTAGTTCCTAATCAAGAAAAGGAATAAAGAAGCTATGAGTTTTAATAGTACATAAATACACAGAAGTTTACATATATACATACAGTATATAACTAAGTCCACTCAAGTATGATTTGAATATTTCACTATCTTCACAATCAATTTCTCAGCATGTCTTGATGAAGCATTAAATTCTCCAAATTAAAAGGTGCTTTAATTCAGTATATGCAAACACAAACAGGATCAAGGATTCTGCCGACATGGAGAACTCCCAGTGCTGGAACATTTCCCCCCAACATCCATCACAACCCATTCATACATAGAGTTTAAGACTTGCCCACCATCATATAGCTACTAATGTCTCAGAATCTGAAAGCAAAGCTCCCTAATTAAGGTCAGCACTCTCATCTACTACATTATGATGCCTCACCAAAACACAACATAATGCAAAAGAAAGAACACTAGATTAGGAATCAAGAGACCTGGGTTCTCAGTCTTAGGTTTCCATTGTTCTATACACTATTTTTAGCCTACAGTGAGGTAACATCAGAAGAAATCACTAAAATAATGGCCATGATTTATGTGCAGAATATAAATCAATGAGTAAATAAACAGAAAAAAACATATATATAAATATGTAGAGAGAGGCTTATCCTTAGTTATGGAACTCAGAATATACATGTTTTCTAGAGTAAGAGGAAATAGGAAATGAGAAAAATTGATATAATAATCAGAACATATCTTTCTCATCTCTACCCTTAAACCACGATCAAATATGCATCAAATGTGGTGATGTTTAATCACAAAATTATTTAAATGGATCAAATTTTAAAAGACCACACTATATATTTATTATGTGATAGTCTCTAGAACTTTAGATAACATAAAATTTTAGTGACTATATAGTAAATTTTTAAATAGCAATAATAATCTAATAACCCAAAGAGCTGTTTACCTGAAGATTATTGAAATCTACTCTCATAGTTTCAAAGGACTCTGTAAGAGGTAAATAGCCCCCAGGAACTCGACTTATTTTTTCAGTTGTATAAGGTTCAGCTGTTTCTTCAGAATCTACAGAAGAATATGCGAGACTCTGAAATTTCACAGATGCTGGTAAATGAACACCAGCAACATCCTGAACACCCAGCCTGGTGAGGAGGGGAAAAAAAAAGGCAAGACTTATATTATTGTAAACCACTAGGCAAATCTAGAACTAAGTCTTAAACAACAATAACAACTGTTGAACACCATTTCCAGTGTTCCTTGGCAACACCGTAGTCATCTGATATACAGACAATGAGTTACAGAAATCTATCTTGCCCTACAGAAAAATAGAAGGGAAAGGGGATAAGAGAAGGGGGGCGGGGGTGATAGAAGGGAGGGCAGATTAGGGGAAGGAGTACTCAGAATGCATGCCGTCTTGGGGTGGGGGGAGGGGTGAGATGGGGAGAAAATTTGGAATTCAAAATCTTGTGGAAATAAAGGTTGAAAACTAAAAATAAATAAATTAATAAATGTTTAATATAAAAAAAATAGACATCTTATATCAGACCTTAAATTATATTGGAAGGTGAGTGCATTGTTGAAGTGTAAAAAGGATAACATGGATTATTTTAAATTAAAAATTTCTTGTTTAAATAAAACCTATGTAACCAAGAACAGAAGGAATGCAGAAAATTGGGCTTTATTAACAAGGCAAAATTAAGCTTATATAAAACTACCATAGGCAAATCCTACCTAACATCATTAGTTGGTGCCACGAAAACCCAATGTTAGGCAAAATGACTTTATCAGAGGCAGTTTGTACCAAGGGTAAATGTTATAAACATGCCATTGGTCAAATGATCTTATAATACTTCACAATGGAATTTGACTGTAATGTACCATATGGATCCCCATATAGAACATACATTTTCCCACCGCACTCATGTAGTTTGCCCTTTCTCATCCCTAGTACAAGACTAGCCTAATTCCTTTTCTGGTCACACACGTCCTTAATGATTTATTTTATGCAATCTCCTGATGCCTGGTCACTGGTGGCAACATGCTTGAGTCTTTTCATTGCCCTTCAGGTTAGCTTTGATTCTGCTGCTTCCAAAATAAGGATGGTCCATATGCTGTAGCATAAAGCATCAATAAGGGAATACTGGTTTTTAAAAATGGGATTTCACGGCAACATATAATCTGGGATCACTGAAAAGCACTGTCAAATTTCCTTAATGCAATGCAGCTTGATTTCTTTCTCTTATTTAATTTTGTCTCATACACATATACTTTGGTTATAAATGACAGATTAACAGTAACTCAATAGGTTTCTCATACAGCTAAAGTTCCTAGATTTAAAAGTGGAAGGACTTTAGAGGTCCTTTAGTCCACATCCCCTCCCATTTACAGATGAAAAAATTGAGGCTAGAGAGGCTAAATGACCTGACCAACGTAACACAGGTAGTAAGCAGAAAGATGAGATGTGAACAGCTTCAATTCCTCTAATGTCCAATCCGGCACTTCTGGGGAAAAGTTTTTTTCATTTACTTTTTTTTTTCCAGAGTGGATGGTTAAGCCATTTCTATTATATTACCATGGAAACCTGATATGGAAATCCCAGGACTTAATGTATATAATACAATGAACGAGTATTTAGAGAACCTCACTCTTGATAGGAAATCATTCTTTTATTTGAACTATGAACAGGGAATTTTCCACATTGCTAAATGTGTATGCATGTACATGCGCATGTATGTACGCGTGTATGTGTGCATGCTGGATGTCGTGTTATGTATGTAGTTGCAACTGTCCCAGTCTTGCATGATTTTAATGTCTGTGTGAGATAAATATTCTTGAGGAGAGATTTTGTCTTAATTTTATTAAGTCAAAATCTTATGAAACAGAGTAATAAACATAAAAAGTAAGACTTATTTTCCCTACATGATTCAATTTTGTGACTATAAAAAGGTATCATTTGTGAAAGCATTTGTAAAAACCTTCTTCCTTTACATGTGTTCATTAAGGATACTCTGGATGTATGCACAGCCCATTCTCATAAAACACTGAGAGAAATGAGAAAGCAGGAATACAGACCAATCATTTTTGATGCCTCCCTAATCATAGCATTGGATCTGGAGTTAGAAGATCAAATCCTGTTCTGACATTTACCATGTGTGTGGCCTTGGGTAAGTCACTTCCCCTCAGAGCCTGAGCATCTATACAAAGAGGGAGCTGTGCCAGATGATCTGTAAGGGCCATCCCGGCTACTTCTTCCCTTTTTAAGGTACCTTGAAAATCTATCCCGAGTGGCTATAAAAACTGTGGTGTTTTCAGCAGACTTTTTCCTTATGTCAGATCCAGATCCTCTTCTATACTTCTTTTTTTGTTTTGTTTTTTTGCTAGGCAATGGAGTTAAGTGACTTGCCTAGGGTCACACAGCTAGTTAAGTTTCAAGTGTCTGAGGCCACATTTGAACTCAGGTCCTCCTGACTCCAGGGCTAGTGCTCTATCCACTGAGCCACCTAGCTGCCTCTCTCTTCCACACTTCTCAAGAACCACTGTTACTTCCTCAGACTAGGTAACTGAGGTACTAATTCTAAAAATGTGGGGTGCTCCACTACTGTTTATGATTAAAATATATCAATAAAGAAACGCTGGCAGATGTGTTGTGTTTGGCATGCTAGGAATACATTTCACTTTTATCCCCTCCTAGCTTCTTTCAAGAATCAGCTCCAATGTCACCTCCTAGATCAGACCAATCTAGATCCAGCCAGGTGCTAGCCCCATTCTGAAAATTACTCTGTATTTACTTTGTGTATATCTATCTTGTATTTACTTGTGTACAAGTTGTTTTCCCCAACAGAACATAAGCTTTTTGAGGTCAGGGTCTATTTTTCTTTGGTATTAGTATCCCCAGCAGCTGGAATGCAGTTGGCATTTAATAAAGGCTTGTTGAATGAACAAATCTACAATGCCCTCAAGCTGATCTGTCTCAGCTAAACTTTACATGAAGCTCTCCGCAGGATCATTTTCTCAACTACTTTTCAAAGTGCTGTGATGTGACACTGCCTAGTCTTTCATTCCCACCCTCCACCCCCATAACATTTTGCAAAAGTTTGTTCTCTAAATTGAAATTGCCTTGGTTTCCCACTTTTCTCCATTTGACAGAAAGATTCAACATTTGTCGCTAAGGCAGCTGTGGACTCTTTCAGCTTTTTCATGTTTGACACTGGTTAAACTTCTCTAAGAAATAGCGTCTTCACTTTTATCCATTTTCCACTTTTTTTTCCAGAGGTGACAGCTTGTTTCAGTACAATGTCCTTTCACACCTCCTGTTTTGGTTTTTTTTTTTCTATTTTGACAACCTTTGCTCTTTGCCAGACAGTCAAATCTGAAATAACTATTGAATTATTAACCAACTATATGCTACATATTGGAAGAAAAATGCAATTTGTGTGTTGCTTTTTGGTGCTTACTACATCCAGCATCTTCAGATTCTAATCTTGAAAAGGAAGTATTCATATTATGCAAGCATAACTCTTCAAAGTAGTATATAAGCCTTTGGTTTCTTCCATTTCTTAGTCTAGAACCACACATATCATATTAACAAAACTACCATGAAAAGACCATATACCAAACACACACAAAATTAACACAAAGGGATTGAGTTGTGTTCATTTTTTTAAAAATTTTGACTTTTACAGTGAAAATCTGCTAAGAGGCTAACTAAGACAGCTGAGGCAACCTGCACAATGTTACACAAGCAGCAAGTGACTGAAGGAGTAAAATGAATGTAGAATGTAAAATGAAAATGTAGAATGAAGGAGTAAAACCAGGGTTTACTGATTCCCAAGACTGTAGATACACTAACTACTACAGCTTCATCTATGAAAAGAAAGAAAACAAAGCCAAAACTCACACGAGAACTTCACCCAGTGTAGGGGGCCTTCTTGCCCTACAACATCCCTCCAGCCCCTTTCTCCTATGGGTAAGTTTCTTTTGGGTTCTCCATTTTAGGGAAGGACCTAAGCTGGCCATCCTTCATTCCTCTCTAGGCTCTGCTTCCAATTCTCCAGACTTTGCCTTCGTTAACGCCTTCCTCTCTCCTATCCCACCCTCCCCTTTTTCAGCTCCCAAGTGTGTTGTCTTCCTGAGCTAGAATGTAAGCTCCTTGAAGGCAGAGAATGGCTTCCTTTTTGCTTGTATTTGCATCCTTTATCCCTTAGCACAGTGCTTAGCACATAATAATAAATGCTTATTGCCTGCCTGCCAAACACAGTAGAACTTCAGACAACGTTGGAACAAAACACGGAGAAAATCCATGTCTTCAAAAGTCTTAATTTTGCTCTATCCTGATAAATGATAAGGATTTTATCTAAGATACTAGTCTTCATTTTAGATGCTTAGTTGACTATTTATCTTTGTTGAAGTTACTTATCATAATTTTATTTTATTTATTTTTTTTTTTAGTGAGGCAATCGGGGTTACGTGACTTGCCCAAGGTCACACAGCTAGTATGTGTCAAGCGTTTGGTCTAAGGCCGGATTTGAACTCAGGTCCTCCTGACTTCAGGGCCGATGCTCTATCCACTGAGCCACCTAGCTGCCCCCTATTTATCATAATTTAAAAAAAAAATCTTGGGTAAAGCAAACATGGAAACTAGAAGTTCACATAACAATCATATTCATTGGCACAGGGAATTATCAATATTTAAAGTATATTTTTACATGACTCATTTTTTTTCCTCTATCAACTCAAAAAAGCATTCACCTGTGATGTCTTCGTATCTCTGTACACTGTACTGCCATCCCAAATACAATTGCACCTGCAGGTATGACTTGTCCATATTCTTCACAATTACCATCTTTACCTTTAGGCTGAGAATGTAAATAAAAATTTTAGTCTATGAATACATACTAGAACAAAATATCATTAGTTTATCTTCAATTGTGAATACGTAATTTTATTACTCAAGATGAATATTGCAATGAATTCTCAATCTTTCATTAAACATTTTCAATCCAAATTATACCAGTCTATCAATAAAACTTGGTCAAATTTTTTATAGAATGTACAATTTTGGGTTCATACTATTCTATTCATAACCTCTAGGACCTAGACTCTAGGTAATCATCATTTAAACTACACTCTCCATCTACAGCTCTGGTTGGGAACATGATACCCCTCCCAGCAAAAGCTGATCATATCTAATCTCATCACCACACTGCTAACTCCAACCTTGGCTACCATCTTCCTCAACCTCTTCTCCCCTCAGATTGGAGAGTTGAAGAGTGGAATCCTAAATTCTGCTCAAAGCTGACCTTCATAATGGGCAGAAACTGGACTACCAGATCATTCCACTTTGCATCTGCCTCCCTGTCCGAAACAAAATGCCCCCTGCCCCATGCCGGGTACCCTTTGATGTTCCCCATTACCTCCTTTACCACTTTCCAGCTTCCTTTTGTATGCTGTCTTCTCCCATTAGATTGTAAGCTCCTAGAGACTGTCTTTCTTTTTCTTATTTGTATTCCCAGCACTCAGTACAGTGCCTGTCACTTAATAAAGGTTTATTGAATTGAACTGAATTGAAACCACATCCAAAGCTGAGAGGGTAGAAGACCTCTGAAAGATGAATACAATTCTGGCAATTGCAACAGATGTTACCAGGACAAGGGTGTCTAAACAGTATACTGGGATCTGAAGTCTTCCTTGATCAATCTCAAAGTGATACCAAGCATGCCTTCCTCTCCAGTATGCTGAGATTCTCAGTAGGGAAGGGAGTTAAGTTCTGAAGTCCCCACATTTCTTGCCTTTATCCCCCTCTTCTTACTACTCCATGGCCTGGCGTGATCCCAAGACTTTAGGAAAATAAACAACTATTTCTCTTCATAATAAAGTTAGATATCTTTGGTTTAGGATCACTGACTATGATCCTAACTCTCAAGACTATCACATGACTGTCACACCACATAAAAGACAGTGAAGTATCGTCTTTCCGAATTAGGAGCCAAAAAGCCCAAACCATTTCAGTCCTGGATCATCCATTCAATAGCTTTGTGACCTTTGGTATGTCACAACCTTTCTGGAGGACATCTGTTTCCTTATCAAACAGGGATGACATCATTCTCATTGCCTAATTTACAGAATTATTAGAAAGAACAAATGAGTTAATCCCCATGTGAACATATTGTAACTAAAAAGAACTATAAGTTTAAGCTATTGTTATTTTTATTCATAAACTAAAAATCCACATACCTCATGGAACAAAGGGTCTCTGAACAAGGGTTCACTGAGGTTAAAGCACATACAAACATACAAGTACTGGGTTTGGATTTGTAAGGACTTTTTCAGACTTATTTTTTCTTAATTTTAAAACCATATTGAATTATATGATGTACATGTATACACACACAGATAAAATGTTAGTTTATGCTTTGTAATTAATAAAACTATTAACAGGCAACCAAGTCATTCTAGTTTGTAATAACAAAGTCTTGGTCTTAGATAGAAAATAAAATTAAGCATATGAAGTAAATACTCATGCTTAGCAAAGTAAATGCTAATACTTAAAAGAGCACAGCACAAGGGTATAAGATTATCTTAACAACTAGATTTACTGAAAATCTGAATATATATCTAATAACCTTCAAGAATATGAGCTATTAGGACCATAAATACTTTAATAAAACAGGGAAAAACTAGATCAAAATGGTTAAAACGTCAGAATGAAACAGAAATAACCTCTCCCTCTAGTTGATAATTTCACTTTTTTTTTTAATTATAAAGAATTTACCAGAGGCAGAAAGGATAGGACACTGTTATATCAGATATATCTGAAACAATCAGTTGTCCTTTAAGGTGAAAGTAGGGAACTCATAGACCCAAAACATTTTAGAACCTTAGTTTAATTTAATTTAATTTTGCTCTGGCCCAGAAAATCAATTTCTTTGAAGGCAATTTATTTTAGTTATCTCAGTCAAGCCAAATCTCGAAAGGTCTAAGAACAAAGAATAGTTGAATTAAATAGTGGTTAACCAACTAATTATACTTTCATAGGATGGCGACCACACTCTGAAGACTGTTGCTCATGTGACAAGAATAGTTTTCTAGCAATTTAACATCCATTACAATATTCTTTGACTCTCCCTTGTCTCTCTTAAGAGCTACCTATATATGGTTTGCTTTCCCTCACTGTGGGTACAACGACTGTAGCATGTGGCTACAAAAACTCTTTATCCCCTTTCCTTTATCACTCTTTACATCCTTTCCTACTCCTTTAATTGGTATAAATATGGAATCAAAGCACGCTTTGTAATATTTACTTGTATTTGAAAATAATTTCATGTTCCTTGTTCATAATTTTAATATGAAGTTTGACTTTTTACATCTCTCTTCCCACTTCATCTTTCTGTCCAGCCCTACAAAAGAAAATTAGATATGCTGCTTTGCCTCTATGTGATCCTCATGGGAAGAAGGTTTCTCTCTATCTACATCTGAAGATCATAGTTTGAGACTACTGCTCATGTGATCAACATTCTTGATCACACTGCCAGTGACCAAACACCAAGTCTAAACACCCTTAGCTGATATATTCTAGAGGACATTATAATACTTTTTTTCTGTAATTTCAAAAGGGAAACAATATGGTTATTTCAACCAATGCATTTAAATAACTCCCTTCATGCATACAAATGGATCTGAACAAAATTTTCCACCCTAACATCCTTCATGGTAGAGAAATAACAATTGTGAACAACACAGATACACTCTTTCTCTTGTGCAGAAACCCATTATTCTTGCCAAGGCCCAAACCACATAAAAATGAAGTTAAATTCATTTAAACTAGCCTCAGTACTAGTAAATTGAGAAGATGCCCATCAACTGGGGAATGGCTGAACAAGTTGTGGTATATGAATGTAATGGAATACAACTGTGCTATTAGAAACAATGAGCAGGTTAACTTCAGAAAAACCTGGAAAGACTTGTATGGTCTGATGCTGAGTGAAGTGAGCAGAACCAGGAGAACATTGTACACAATAACAGCTACATTGTGCGATGACTACTATTGATAGACTTAACCCTTCTCAGCAACACAAGGATCTAAGACATCTCCAAAGGCCTCATGATAGAAAATGCTATCCACATCCAAAGAAAGAACTATGGAATTTGAATGCAGATCAAAGCACACTATTTGCTATTTTTTTCTTCTGTTGTATTTTGTTTCCTCTTTCTGGTGGTTCCTCCTATTAGTTCTAATTCTTACTTACAACATCACTAATGTGAAAATGTTTAATAGGAATGTATATGTACAGCCTATATCAAATTGTGCGCTGTCTTGGGGAGGGAAGTGGGGAGGAAAGAGGAGAAAAATTTTAAACTCAAAAGCTTATGGAAGTGATTGTTGATAAATCAAAATAAACTGATTTAAAAAAAAAAAAAACCTAGCCTCAAAACTTCTATACCTCTGAGATCTCACTGAGCACTTCTTCCAAAAGTATACCTCACAACCTATCCATTGACCTACAGTAGCAGCTCTCAAACCTCTGGGTCTCAGTACTCCTTTATACTTGTAAAAATTTTTGAGAACCCCCCCCCAAGAGCTCTTGTTTATGTAGATTATATCTATTGATATTTACTACATTTGAAATTAAAACATCTTAATGTTTTGTGAAAATAGTTTTCACCTTGTAGATGCCCTGAAAGGGTCTCAGAGACCCCTCCAGTTTCCCCAGACCACACTCTGGGAACCACTGATTCACAGCATTAAAACTAACACCAAAAAAGTACCCACAACTCTTTAAAAATTGATGCAGAATATACAACGTACTGAAGTATGGGAATATCTTGCATAATATTGCCCTGACTGATGCTGTTTCATATCATCAGCATCATTAACACATTATAATCAAACTCCATATTGTCACAACTTCACTTAGTCAGTCAACTAAGATGGCTATCAGATAGCTGTTCACTATCACTCCTATGTAAATTACCAAGTGATTGTGAATGATTAATGTTCCATATATGGCATTGTTCCTATGAGACTAACTTCTCCCTATTAATAGTTTTTTCCCTAATGTATTGCTCTTTTAGAACTACTTAAAGGTCAGGCAATGTATGCCTATAATGGATTTTAATAAGCAATGCTACCATAATTTAAATATTCCCTTTGTTTACATATGTGTATGTGTGTGTGTATATATACACATACATACATACATATACATACTACATATAAAATATATATATATAAAATGTATAAAACACATAACGGATCAAGGGTATAAGATGGCATTTTTCTAGCTATTCCAAAACACAATGAAAGATAATGGTGTCATTAATATAACTAAACATAAATTAATGATTATAAAAACATACTAACTGTTCAGTCAATCAACAAGCATTTTATTAACTGCCTACTATGTGCCAGGCACTGTGAGAGATTCTGGAGACTTTTATACAAAATGTTTTTAAATTATGGTGTTCCCTCATTCAAGTTTTTAGGATTAATTACTTACTCTTACACAAGCCTTTTTTAAAATGTGGAATCCCTACATTTATCTGTGTGCTTACATATGGATATATATGTAAAAAATATATACATACAAAGATACATACATATATACAAATAAACACTTAAAATAGTATTTTGAAGTACCTATCCACTTTAAGTTTTAACATAACAATGTGAACACAATAAGAAAATGATAATTTGAATTTTAAATTAAATTTTTAAATATTCTCACCATACGTTAGAAAAATCTAAACATGTCTACATACAAATACACATACATATATAAAATGTATATATATCTTTATGTAAGTAAATCATTTCTAACCTATTCAAGAATTTTCATGCTGCTTACCTTTGGTTGCAAAAGTAAATGTTCCCACGCATGAATCAAGCTCTCCACAATTCCTTCTCCAAACAAACCTGCATCGACAGTTTCTGTTACAACTAGGGAAACTCTATAGAATGATTTTTTAAAGATACATGTAAGTTTTTTAAATGATACATTTAAAAACATGTGTACTTATCTGTCTTAAATTAAGTACCATTACTGCTACAAATTAAGAATGAATTTTTGTTTAAAAATTGTGTAATTTTTTATAATTAAAGCACTCTAAAGTTCAGTTAAATCCTTTAAAATATGATTCCAAAATTGCATTAATGACAGAGAATGTATGCCCCATTCCCAAATAAGCATTTTCATGCTGATAGTACAACTAAGAAATCTATCACCACCCATTTTCCCATGTAATTATCCAATTTAGTACTATAACTTGAAAAAATCACATTGACATATTATTATTACTACACTGACCAGAATTTCTTAAATCCTTGAGAAATGTGATAAGTTGTATTCCTAGATAGACATTTTTCTGAAACTCAGAATAATTATGATAGCTATTTATAATAGCACTTTAAAATTCATAGAGCAACAAGGATCTTGTGAGGCAGGTAATGACATTTTTATTATTCCATTTTATAAATGAAACTGGCTCAAAGAGGGTGACAGTCATACAGTCAGTAATGGCCAGTGCTAAGATTCAAATAAGTATATTTATATTTACAGATGTACATGTTGTTTCTCCCAAGAGAATAAAAGTTCTTTCAGAGCCAGGGTCATTACATGTTTTATCGTCGTATCTCCAGTACCTGGGCACAGGGTCTGACACACAGAAGACACTTAATAAATGTATGTTGGTTGACTCAATGGTTTTATTGTACCTTTCCAATCTTACTTCACATTACTCTCGTTGGTACACACTAAAATATAGCCCCACTGGCCTTCTTTCTGTTCCTCATGCTAGGACCAGTAATCGTCACCCCTCCCTCTCAGAGGCCCCTTCAAGGCTTGGCTCCAGCACCACCTTCTACACAAATTTTTTCCTGATGACCCAGCAGCCTAGTGCATGATTTTAAAATCACCTTGCATCAATTGTGTAAATACTGATGTACATGTTATCTCATTTTTCTTTGTATTCCCAATGCCTAACACAGTGCCTGACAAATAGGTGGCATTTAATAAATGCCTGCGAACTGACTGATCACATGCCCCAAAGCAACAAGAATTAGCATTTCATAGGATATTGGGCAATTGAGTATTGAAGTGTTTATAACAAGTATTTACAAAAATGCTACTTGAAAATAGTTGCAGCTTATGTACCAATATCTGTTGCAGAGAATGAAGAGTTAGAAAAATCTATGAAGAAATTGCAAAGGCCTTCCAAATTAAATCAACATGTACTGTGACATTTAGTTACTTTACTGCAAAGGTAGGAATAGGTTAAAGATTATAAGAAAGATACTGGAAAACACAGGACAAGAATATGGGATGAAAGAGGGAACCATTCCACAATTGATAGTGGTCAAAGGACGTGACAGGAAGTTTTTTCAAAGAAACTGAAGCTATCATTAGCCATATGAATTTTCCCCCCAACTCACTAATAATTATAGAAATGCAAATCAAAGCAATTCCAAGGTTCCACCTCACATTCTCAGATTGGCAATGATGTCAAAATTGAAAAATTAAAAATGTTGGAGAAGCAGTGGGTAAACAAGCACATTAATGCACTTTTATACAGCCATTCAGGAAAGAAATCTGAAACGTCCCCAAATCACTAAACTATGCATACCCTTCAGCCTAGTGACACCACTACTAGGCCTATACTCCGAAGAGATGAAAGAGAAAAATGACACACATACAGACAGAAAGACACATATATACATACACACACACACACACACACACACAGAGCAGCTACTTTGCTAGTAAGAAAAAAATGAAATTAAGGAGATGCCCATCAATTAAGGAATAGTCCCACCCTGATCAACAAGTTGCTTATATATCTGTCACTTCAAGTGACCTGTAAGAACACAGGGCTAGAAGTGGAAAAGACCTTAGAGGGTATAGGATCCAACACCCTCATTTTATGGAAGAGGAAACTGAGGGTCAAAGCAGTTAAATGACTTGCCCAGTCACACAGCTAGTGACTAAAGTTAGATCTGAACTCAGGTCTCCCTGATTCCAGGCCCGGTGCCCTATCTACTACACCAGTGGTTTTCAAACTTTTTGGTTTCAGGACTTGTTCGAACTCTTAAAAATTACTGAAGACCCACCCCCACTCCCAAAGATCTTTTGCTTATATCCATTATAGCTATCGACATTTACCATATTGGAAACTACAATGTCTTTATATTGTTATGAAAACTGTTTTGACCTCAAAGACCCCTAAAAAGGGAATCCTGGAGCCTCAGGTGTCCCCAGGCCACTCTTTGAAAACTTCTGCACTGCACCATGTTACCTCTCACGTCTATAGACTTTTTTAAAAGAGCATTAAAAGAGAAAGACAGCTAGGCGGCACAGTGGATTGGAAGACTCATCTTCCTGAATTCAAAGCTGGTTTTGGACGTTAACTAGCTATGTGACCCTGGGCAAGTCACTCAACCCTGTTTGCCTTAGTTTCCACATCTGTAAAAGGAGTGGGGAAGAAAATGGCAAACCACTTTAGTACCTTTACCAAGAAACCCCCAAACTGGGTCACAAGGAGTTGGACACTACTGGACAACAACAACAAAAAGAGAAATAATATCCACACACACACAGAGGGAATGATTAAGGGTCTGAGAGGAAACATGATCTAGTGGAGATAGGGACTATCTTAAAGACCTGGGTTTAAGTCCTGCCTCTGACACATACAAGCTGAGTGACCACAGGTAAGTCATTTGAGTGTTCCACTATACTCTCTATGGCTGTAAGTTACAGATGAGTTGATCTGAATTATTGGTGGAGGCAATTTTCAAACTGGGAATTATCTCAACAGATATTTTGTACATGTTTTGCACAATAGAATTAAGCTTCTTGAAGGCAGGAGCTATTTCCTAATTGTTTTTGTCTCCCCAGCACCAAGTCCAGTTCCTGGCATGTACCAGACACTAAAACTATTTTCACAAGTTAACTTTTAAAAATCAGATAGTGACTTAAAAGGTGGTATAGAACACACATGACAATACCTTTCAGGAATGTGCTTAGGAACTTCTATATCCAGAGACTTCATATGTAATAGTTTGATCCCTGTTTCCATCTTGTTTGCTGCCACTATGTCACGAGAGATCTCATACATGGTCTTAGAGAGTTCACAGGCATAGACCCGGTGTGCACCAGCATTTTTAGCAAACATGCTGTAGGGGAAAAAAAATCCATCAGAAAAAAAAATCAAGCAACAAAAATTCCTGTTTACTTTTCAAAATAAGGGAGTTACACTATTTAAGAAGAGGACATGACTGCTTCTCCTTAAATTTAGGCTCACTTTATAAACTTGGCTTTATTTTGTATTTTTTAAATTAACATAATTAAAATCTCTGGCCATCAATGCTAATAATTAACCAGGTCAGTTTGAAACCACAAAAGTCAGGGCAACTATATATCAGAGATAATAACTAGGTAACACAAAAGAAATGTCCTTAAGATGGTAATTCCAAAATTTCAAAGCGGTTAACAGTATTTTTCTAAAGAAAAAATAGATCGCATTCTTGATGGAACATAAAGTTGAAAAGATAGTAAGAATCTACATGTATTATTGCAATGATGACAAACCTTAGTATTCCAGTTCCTGCTCCAATATCCAGAACAGTTTTGCATCCCAAGCGAACAACCTTCTGGATTGCTGAATGGTAAGTCATATTCCTCTTGATGTCATTAAGCATGATAAAGTGCCAGCGTTCCACCAGCCAGTTTGCAACACGATAAAAATTTTCCTTTGCATCACTGTAGTCAGGATTTAGCTTTACCGCTTTGTGGAAATAGCCAGCTGCTTCATCTCTAAAGCCCATTCTACCAATAAAAAAAAAGATGAACAGAAAGTATCTAGTTATCTGCTTTTAGCTCTACACCCACCTCCCTCTCTGTATCTGGAAATCCTCCTCCACTCCATTCTAAATCCTCCCGTTCAAGGCCTACCTCCTTCACAAAACTTTCCCTGGCTACTACAAGCCCTAGCAATCCATCCCTTTGCCAATTCTTCAAACTGTATTTAAACTTATACCAAATGATTTAAATTAAATTTTATACTGTTATTTATTGCTATTTCACATGTTAATCTTGTCTCCACAAGTAGTTAGTCATTAATATCAGGGGTGACATCATGGTCTCTCATGTTATCCTCAGTACCTAAGCACAATTCTAAGAAAACGGTATTGTACAAATGAGTAATCAATACTCACTGACTGACAAGGCAATCAACATGAATAACATCCCCAAACAGCCATGATTAGCCTGTTGAATTGGAAATGATCCCCTTCTCAATAATTTCACATGTCTCTGCTTCAGTTAACCTTACTGATAACTAAATCATCACTTAGTTTTCTGATGTAGCTGAAAAGTTAATTTGGGAAGAAATAAAAGGAACCTCAGAGCTGTAAAAACCAATGTTAAGTTTACGGTAAACTACAATAGTATAGCTTTTGGGGAAAAATAACTTGTTAAATTGTGCCACAGAATTATGGAACTTTTGACAAAACTAGGGGGATTCTTAACCTGCAGTTGATAAACTTGAAAAAAAAATTTTATAACTATTTCAATATAGTTGGTTTTTGTTTTAATACTATGAATTTCATTTTATGCATTTAAAAACACTGTTCTGAGGAATCATTCACCAGACTGCCAAAAAGAGTCCATGCCACACAAAAAAGGTCAAGAAAGCCTAATGTACTCCAATGTACAGAATTTTTTACAGAAAAAGACACTGACATTCAAAAAGTCACACTGATTTACTCATGTAGTACAATAGTGTCTTAAATCCAGGTTTTCTGCCTCCAAGTACAGGAGAATGCCACAGACACTTCTTTTTAAATTAAATCCACCCAAACTCTGCTTGACAACTAGAGACTTCCTTTAAATAATACTACTTGCATGTGAGTAAACGAAATATTTCTAAACTGCCTTAAAATGCATTTCCCTTCATACCTTCTTTGCACTATTAACTTCCTGGCTTAATAAATCCTTTTCTCCTGGAAAGAAGGTAAAGCAAACTTCAGCCAAGATCATCATCAATTACTATAAATTCTAAATTAGTGAAGCATAAATGGATTTTTTTAAAAAACAAAACAAAACAACAATAACAAAAAAGAGCCACGATAAAATTCTTAAAACCACTTCAATTTTTATGGTGTCTGTGCCAGTTCACACTAACAAAAACTGACCTACTGGGAGTCTGTGCTTCTAGTTTTCAAAGATTAATTAATCTTGGAATTTAATAGTCAGAATCATGAGATTATACCACCATTACATGTTTACAATCTAGAATATGTTTAAAATAAACTTTAAATAAAGTCAGAAAGGCACAAATATAATTTTAAATGAATTTAAAATGAATCCAATTTGTTTAAATTATATCTATTTAAATTTTAAATAATTCAATCTCATTTAAATGGAAAACTATTCCAACTGCTATAGGGGAAGACATTGTTTATTGGTGCATATATTATTTACTCAGTTGCTTATTTCTGCCAACAATTTACATTTTTACTTAATGGTTTGTTCCTAATAACAGATCTTACTAACCCTTTGTACTCTCCTCTCAATCTTTGTGTTATCAGCTAGCTCTCTACACTAAGAAGGAAGTACTCTTTAACAATCTCTCTCCCACCCTACTCCCAAAATAACCAAACATCAACATGTTTTGCCATATCTGTCCATTTTAAGAGTACCTTAAACTGAACCTCAACAGTTGTATATGTAGTTCAACAGGAAGAACACTGGCCTAGGAATCCAAAGCAAGCTATGTGACTTCACTAAACAATTCAACTACCTAAACCTAAATAGTTTTTTCAGCTGTTAACATGAGGGTCTTCATTTAAAGGATTATTACTAAGGTCCCTTCTAGGTCTAAGAGTCTATGATTTTAACATTCACTTAAAAAAAAGGTTTCCTACAAATGTTAAATATACAGAAAAGAAGTCCAGAAAGGATCACAGAAAAAAAGGAAATTTTGCCACTATCCTATTAAAGTCAATATATGCATCCTTCAGGGTTTCAATCAGTCAATTAATCAGTATTTATAAAGCATCTACTTTGAGCCAGGAACTGTGCTAAGCCCTGGCAGTACACAAAGAGATTTGTTTTAATAACTGGTTAATAGAAATTTAGTTACATGTAATAATTACTAACAATTTTTTTCCTATTTGTTTTAATTCTTATTTACTTTTGCTTGGTTCCTGTTTATATATTTGAATGCTTAAACCTGGCAATGGAAGTTAAAATAACTCATTCTTAATATAAAAAGATTTCTTCTCATACCTTAATATATCTGACTAAATAATATAGATTCTACTTTTTGAAGCTATAATTTTAAAGTCAGTAATTGTTTTATATATATTTTAGTAGTTACACCCAAAAACAGTAATAGATTTTATGTTATCTACAAATATCTGCAAATTACAATACAAAATAACAATATCATTATTAGTCAAATGACTCATAACAGTGGGTAAAAGTATTCTTAATACTATGGGCAATGTGATAGAATGGGGAATTAGCTTTCTTTTCTAGATCAGGAATTATATTGACAGTCATTAAAGAAGGATGACTTCATTTCATTAATTTTGGCTGCATTTACTAGAATAGCAATAGAAAGTACATATGACTTTAAAAATTAAAGATAAAATTTTAATTTGTTTTTTTCTAAGCTAGTAGTTATTTTAAGAGAAAATAGGTATAGGAAATATAGATAATTATAGGACAAAAATATATCATAAAAAATAAGGAAGCACTTTTATTTTGAAAAATATTTTTATAATAAAGATTATTTTGTATAATATGAGAATTTCTATTTAAAATCTTTTACCATTCAATCAATTAATATTTATTAGGTGTTAATATACTGATATTAGTAAATTTGGATTATAAAGATTTACTTACAGGCAAATATATGCAAAATATCCTCCTATTGCTAATGAACAAAAAACTAACTTTTTCTCTCATGTGGAATGGAAAAACTCCCATTCAACCCATAAAACCTAAGTATCAGCCTGACAGAAATGATGTTCTTCTTGGCCAGGGAAAAAAGGTTATTTCCCCATAAAGAAACATTAGTTACTAATGTAATTTTTTTTCCTTCAGAATAAATGGTTCAATTTACTTAACATTTCAACAGTGATAAAGCTTCCACATTCTCAACTACAACTACCACCTTTAACCCTAACTATGTCTCACTTTCTAGTCAAAGTCATAACCTGGCTCCTTCCTACCTTCCCAGTATCCTCACACTCAACTCCTCTCTAAAAAGTTCTATGAGCCAGTGAAATTGGCCTCCTTGCTATTCACTTAACAAGACACTCCATCTCCGGATTCCAGGCATTTTCAAAGGCAGTCTTCCATACCTGGAATGCTCTCCTCTGCCTTCTTTCAAGTCTCAGCCAAAAGTCCACCTTCTGCAAGAACCCTTTCCTAATCCTCCTTAATGCTAGTGGTTTCTTGCTACCCTGTACTCTGTGTATTTCCCTAGATATTTTATATGTATATAGTTGTTTGCCATGTTGTCTCTCCTGATAAGAATGTGAGCTCCTTGAAGCAAAGGGCTATTCTGTATCCCCAGCAGTTAGCACAGGGCCTGGCACATATTTAAGTGCATAAAGTTTCTTCACTGAACAGCAGAAATGGACCTAAAACATAAATCAGCATTATTCCCCAAAATGGAATTAGAACCATAATTGCGCCATGAAAGAAGGTCTCTGTGTTCAAATAGCATAATATTAATATTAATCCCAAAGCACATACACACACATAACACACACTGGGGGAAGGGGCAAGGGAAATAAGATTCAAGAAAAAAACTAAAAGTAAAAGGTAAAAATACAACGGAGTTTAAGGGGCCTCGTTTAAAAAAGAAAAAGAAGAAACATCTCAACAAGCTGCTGTTGTTCAGTTGTTTTCAGTCGTGTCGGACTCTTCATGACCCCACTTGGGGTTTTCTTGACAAAGATAATGGAGTAGTTTGCCATTTCCTTCTCTAATTCATTTTACAGACGAGGTAAACAGGATTAAATGACTTACCTAGGGTAACACAGCTACTAAGTGTCTGAGCCCATATTTTGAATTCTGAAAACTGAGTCTTCCTGAATTCAGGCCAATCACTCTATCTACTATCCTACCAAGTACAGTTATCCAAAAATGGAATGTGCTTCCTGGAGAGATGGAGGAAGGTACCCCTTCCTTGGAAGTCTTCAAGCATTGTGGGGTAAGTTATAGAGGCAATTCCATCATATGGGTTGGACTAGATGGGAGCTGTGATTCCTTCCTACTCTAGTTATGCAATTCTGAGGAATGCAGTCTCTGGGTCCTCTTCCCTCTTCCATTCCCCACCAAAAGAATCAAGAAATTAACTTCCCACACTTCCATGCCCCCAAGTACTCTCAAATCTTTCAAATTCAAAAGTAGTAAGTTAACCTTTTTTTTTCTAACTCCTGGACCAAACGTTAAAGGTCTCAGTAAAACCACAAAAATGGAAAAGCAGGAATCACTATGCTCTACCCAAAGCATTCTCTCCTTCAGTTGTTTTGACATTAATAACCTGACACAACTTCTATACATCTAAACAAAGCCAAGCTTTTGAAATGACAAACCTGAACAAATGTTCCCCTATACTGTTACAAATCACTTCATCATCAGGAAAAAGTTCCAAGGCCTGCTCATAGCAACCAAATAAGTCTTGTACTCGATTCAGAGAATCCAGTTCTTCTGCCCACTTGAGGAGGGTATACTGAAAGGTTTCCTTTTCAAAAGAGGAAAAATATTCATCAGTAAAACAAAGACCATGTATAGTGTCAAATCCAGATTTCAGAGAATTCAAATATATTTAATGAAAGCACTATCTTAAATTCCACTCCCTCAAAAAGCTCCTTACAACTACATGGAAATATGATTCAGTTCTCTAACTTCAGTTATGAATGTACACCCCACACAGATTACAACAGAAACTGGAAAATTGCACAGAGGTACAAGTGTCACATATCTATTCACAGATTTAGAGCTCAAAGAAACTGTGAAGGTCATCTAATCCAACCCCCTCATTTTACAGAGGAGGAATTAAGACTCAGAGACAGTAAGTGATTACCCAAGGTCACACAGGTAGTAAATTAGTACCAGAATTTGTTACAGTTAGATACCAAACATAAATATTAACTATTGTCTGCACAGAAAAGACTATTCTAAATAATTTTGTTATTCTGTACTTGGCAAAAAACAGTATCACTTGCTCGTCTTGTTTGAAATAAGCATATTCAGGCAAAATACATTCACACATTGGACGTGACTCAAATTGTGTATCTTATTCTACATGTAATGTTCATCACTTCTCTTTCAAAAGGCAAGTAAAGTAGCCTGCATCACCATCAGCCCTCCAGGATAGGGTTGTTACTGATCAGTGTTCTGAAATTCAAAGTAGTTTTTCTTTACAACATTAATAATTACTATACAAATTATTTTCCTAGTGCTGTTCACATAACTCTGCATTGGCTTATACCAGTCTTTCAGTGTTTCTCTAAATCCATCCGTTCTATAATTTCTTATAGTAAAAGTAATATTCCATTATATTCATATACTATAATTTGTTTAGTCACTCCTCAATTCATGGGTAATCCTTTATTTTCCAGTCAAGACTACCAATTAATTCATTAATTCATTAATGAATTAATGAATAATAACTGAAATACTTCCGTTGCCTTCACATAATCATTTGTATTTTAAGACACAGAAAATGACTTTGCATGTTTGGTATTTATCTGTGTACGAATTTTCCCCAAGCAAAATGTAATCAACTTGAGAACAGGGCCTCTCATTTTTGTCTTCGTACCTCTATTGCCTGGCACATAGTAGGCACTTAATAAATGCTTGTTTGAATTGAACTGAAAGTTCTTCCCTGTGCCTTACCATAGCATACAAATTCTAGAAGGCTAAGCCACCAGAGCTCAAAAGGTCTTCCAAGATGGAAAAGCTTTCAGGGCAAACCTAGCAAAGGACCGTGTACCTCATCTTAAGACCAACCTAGCTAAGTTGCAAGGGCCTTTCCTGGAGGTTGGGGACCATATGGTTAAAGTTTCCTGCCACAAAAGTGCCCACATCTTGGAGATGACAGTTCTGTTTAATTACTAAAAAAGTGTTAAATGTTTTAATCAAGACTAAACCTTACTTATAACTTTAATTTGTATGTCATACAAAGACATTTGCTTTAACATTCACGATGATGCACCAAATTTATTTTTAGGGAGAAATTTCTCAGTGTTTTTACCATGCTTTGTCTCATCTACTCAAGGTGAATTTTTCACTGTAGGTGTGGGAAAAAAAATGAACATGTATATATCTTATTGAACCAGATCTTATTAATTGGATTTTTTTTGGCTTTTTTTAAAGTATGAAGTAGGGGACAGTTCACTCTTTGATGTGAATTCTCACAAAAAATAGTTTATGAGGCAGATCCATATTTTGCTTAACTATCTGCTATTTTTAGCTATTAGCTATTGTTGTAGCACCTGCAATATAGCACATGCAATATAACTGTTCAAATATGCTTTTTTTTTTTTTAGTAATCATCTTGTAGTAGAGCAGAGTCTTGGCTTTCAGTCTTGCTTCAGATACACATTGGCTGTGTTAACGGTCATCTGTGTTTTATATCCCTACTAGACTTAAACTTCATAAGGGAAAGAACTACGTTTTTGCACAAGACTGAAGGGGCTATGACAGGTACACGAGCCTATACAAAGTTAACTGGGGGAGAGGGTGTATGCATTATAGATATGGGCGACTACTCCAGTAAAGGCAAAGTGGGAGGTGTAACTAGTAGTCAATAGCCTAACTTAAGTGGAACTATTATGGGAGCGTTGTTTCTGAGCTGAGAAGGACCTTGGATTGCCTAATACAATCCTCTAAGGAAACTGAGGGCCCGGGAAGTGACGTGACTTGTCCAAGGTCCCAGAGCTGGGATCTGCACACCACGGCGTCATTTTAAAGGCACTAAGGCAGAGAACTCCAGTTCAAATCCCGGTTTGCCACTTGCTTCGGGCACATCACCTCGGTGCCTCCTCAGTCCCCCTGCAAACGCAGAGGACCGGACTCGTGAGACCCCGAGGGCAGGAAGCAGCGCCGACCCGGAGCCCGGGAGCCCCGCAGCCCGGGCCGCGGCGCTCACCTTGACGTCGTCCCGCAGCTCGGGCGCCAGGCTGAGCACCAGCAGGTAGTGCGCGTAGGCCGTGCCGAAGTCCCGGCCGGCCACGCAGTGCTGCGCGCTCTGCAGCGAGCGGGACACCAGCTCGGCCCTGCCGGCCTCCTGCCCGCCCCGGCCCCCGCCCCGCGAGCGCGGCATGCTCGGAATCCGACGGCGACGAGAAAGTCGGGGTCAAGGTCAAGGCTGTCCTGGTCCTCCGCGGAGACCTTTCGACTTCCGGGTGGGGCGGCTGGCCCTCCTCTAGCCCAGAAGAAAGGGACACCGCGAGCTAAGCACGGAAAACGGAAAACACAAAAACAAGGAACTTCCGGCGTCAGCGCCAATGCCCGCCCCTCTGACGTAATACGCACGCTACGCTCCCACGGCTCGGAGAGGTGCTTCCTAGCTCCGGCTCCCCACTTCTCAAATAGCCAACGTCGTTAGGAGGGCCGCGCTTGCGCGTTGCTCATGCCTCCGCCACGGCCCCTTTACCCAGCTCCTCTCCCCTACTTCCAGTGCGCAGGCTCCGCTCAAGAGTCTGGCCGGTTTCTTGAGTCTTTTCTTCTTTCCCCCAGCCCACACCTTTTACCGGCTTAGGAACCTCCTCACTGCGCATGCGTCCCTCAAGTGCTTAGGTGTGGCACGTGCCTCTGCCTCCTTACCGCGCCCCTCTGCCTTTACTGGTCTAGAAGCCCAAGTGTCTTGGAATCTTGGAGGGAAAGTGGCACGCGCTCTTTGGCTCCTTTTGAGGCACTAGTAGGGCGTGAATATGTATATGGATATGTCTTTAAAGGTCTTTTCAGTAAAGCCCAGAGAGGGGCAGGGACCAGACCCAAGCTCACACAGAACTGGGATTGGAACCTGGGATGCTGAAGCCCAGTACTCTTCTCCCAATGCTGTGTTGCTGCTCTTAGAAGGAATCGAGGGTGAGTCAGAAAACACCGGGAGCAAGGGAGAGGAGAAAGGCGATTGGTTAGAACAGAGGGCAGGACTGCTGGTGCCAGCTTTTATGGTTCCGAGAAATCTGATTGCAAAATTTTTATTTTGAGCATTTACACCTAGGAATTGGGGAAAAGCTATATATCAGGGCATGATGTATTGCTTTGTCTATTATCTAGGTTTAAGGTGATAAGGAAAATATTAATAATGGAAATTGAACTTAAAAGTGTGTTAGGTGCATATTTTCCAGAGAGCTGGTAGTTAAACATTTATCGACACACTGCCCTAGAGATCCATCTGTGTGCTGAGAGGTCATTTATGTGATAGGCATTGCCCCAGGAAAGTTTTGCAAATTTGAGTTTGGGACCTGAAAGAAAAGGTCACTGGTTAAACAAAGGACGGTATATAACTGTAGTGGATTACTATTTTACTCTAAGAAATGATCAAGGAGACAGTTTCATAGGAACTTGGGAGGCCTTGTATAAACTGATGAAAAATGAGCAGAAACAGGAGAACACTTCATACATTATAAGGACAATTTAAAAAACTTGTAAGAGTTCCTGAAATTCTTAGCCTATACCCTGAAGAGATCAAAGAAAGGTAAATGGCAAATACTGAGAAAAATATGCATAAAATATGTTTTTGAGATAACAAACAATTGGAAACAAAAGAGTTGCCCATCAATAGGGGAATAGCTGAACAATTTATGATATACAATTATGATGGAATACTATTGTACTGTAAGAAATAATAAAGGAGATGGTTTCAGAGAAACCTGGGAAAACTTCTATAAACTGATAGAAAGTGAAATGAGCAGAACCAGGAAAACAATGTATATAACAACATCATAAAGATAATTTTGAAAGACATAGGAACTCTGACTAATGCAGTGACCAACCATGATTTCAGAAGACTTATGTGGAAACATATTACCTTATCTCCTGACAAAGCAGTGATGCTGTCAGATTACAGGAATAGGGAAAGATGTGATAAAGAAAACATAATCAAAACAGTACTTTAAAAAAATAGTAATAAAGTTGGTCAAGCAAATTATAATCACTGGAGACATCCCAGGGACACCTGTGCCTTTCTTATCTCTATAGAATCTTCATAATAATGCTATATACACATACATTCCAGGGAATCCTTGAAGAAAATTTGAGAAAGAAACAGGCAGTCTTTTACAAACAATATGGTAGAGGACATTTTTATGGCCACAAGATTGAAAGGCACAGAGGATTCAAGATTCCACTTTGCCTACATGTTGACTATTTAAAAGCATTTAATTCTATAGACCAAAATATAGATTTAAAGGATGATTTTGTGCAAATAATTTTAAATCTTTAGGCCTCAGTTACCTCATCTTGGGAGCATATTTTCTGAGATTCACCCAGAAAATTTATGAATCTTAAGTATAAAACATTCTTTGCAGAAATGGACCTAAATAATTGGAGAAACAGTCATTGCTCATGTGTAAGTTGAACCTATAGAATAGTATGACATTGCTACCTAAATTAATTTACTTTTTCTGTGCTGCACCAATCCAATCCCCAAATAACATTTTATAGAACTAGAGAAAAGAACTTTTAAAAACTGTACTACAAAGCAGCAATTATAAAAAAGTTTATTACTAGTTTTAAAAAATTGGTCGACCAGAAGATTAGGTATACCACAGACAAAAGCAAAGAAACACAGTAGCATCATGTTTGATAAATCTAAAGACCTAAGTTACTGGGGAAAGGACTCACTTATTTGACAAAAACTATTAGGAAAAGTTGACAGCAATCTGGTGGAAATTAGGTTTAGATCAACATCTTACACCATATACCTTCAAATGGTAACATGACTTAGAATTAAAAAATAACAAGCAAATTATCATATTATGATATATGTTCATGATGTATCATAAAGGAAGATATTACTTTGTCTTAGTTCCAAAACGTATAGGAAACTGATTTAAATTTATAAGAACAACAGCTATTCCCCAGTTGATAAAGTCAAGGACTATGAACAAGCAGTTTTCTGAGCAAGAAATCCAATCTTTCAATATCCATTTGAAAAAAAAGTTCCAAATCACTATTAAGTAGAAAAATGCAAATTAAAGCAACATATCTCTCAGACTGGCAAAATTGACAAAAATGGAAAATAACAAATGTTAGAGAGGCCGTGGGGAAACTGACACATTAACACACTGTTGGTGGAGCTGTGAATTGATCTAACCATTCAGGAAAGCAATTTAGAACTATGCCCCAAAACTGTGTATGATGCCCAACAATACCACTACTCTGTATCTGTGGTGTGCTGGTATAGGGGAATTACCTTGACCTTTCTGTGATTCTATAACTGGAGACTTAAGAACTCTAATCAACATAGATCACAATTCCAGAGGACCCATGATGCTCACTTTTTCTAGGTGATAGACTCATGGTATAAGTTAAGAAATATTTTTGGACATGAACAATGCAGGAATTTGTTTTGCTTGCCTATCTATATTTATTCCAACTGTGTGGGACAGAGACCGCTACTCAAATTCAAGACAAAGACTTAATTACCTTGAAAGCAGAAAGGAGTTTATTGTTTTCTCATGAGAAAGGGTACCACCCCTCCTCGGACCAGGGAGGACCAATACCAGTACCCATCGCCCTAATGGCGTGTATCGATACAAGTACAAGTTGGTTACAGAAAGCAAGGCTTATTTATATCCTAACTGGAGTTCCTCCTCCCAAAACCCCCTTCCCCTTTATCCCATTGGCTGGGCTTCAGGGGGCACAATCTATTCACAGAAATTATCCCAGCAACAGAGTACACAAGTTTGCCCAGAGACAAGAAAAGGTGGAAGTCTTGCAGTTCAGGTTGGGGTGAGGGCTATTCTATTCTTTCTGCTAAGTGCTTAAGAACAGGTTCATGAGGGGATTTTGACAAGGTCAGAAGGGAATGTTTCAACAATACAATTAGAAGGCCATCTACAACAGGTGCCTCCCAATTTCTCTCCTCCCACTCTCTTACTATCTGGCTTCTGACCTTATCTCTTTCCAAATGACCAGTGATCTCCTAATTGCTGCCCTTTATGAGAACTATTAACAAAAACTATTAACCCTTTGAGGAGGCTTCATGTCTGAGAGATCATCATCTCTCACACAACGATTTTTGTTTTGTTTTCCTTTTTTTTTATTGGAGGCAAGGGGAAATGAGAGAGAGAGATCAGACTTTTAATTAAAAATACTTTTTAATTTTTAAAAAGGGAAAAAATAGATCCTGTGCTCAAGGAATTTACATTCTAATGGGGCGATCACATGTAGATAATTAGGTAAACATGAGATGCATTGTAAAGGAAGGCAATCTGAGAGGGGAAAGGACTAGCAACTAGAAAAAATAGGAAAGACCTGTATGAAATGAGAATTAAACTGGGTCTTGAAGGAAGCCAGTGGAACTAAGAGGAAGAGATGTAGGATCAGAATATTCTGAGTATGGCAGACAGCCAGTGCAGTTACAGAGAAAGGAAATAATGCGTTATGGTCAGGGAATTGCAAACAGGCCACTGGGATCATAGAGGGATTAAAGCAGGGGTGGATCGTGTTTTACAAAACAAATCCTTACATTAAGGGGATTTGTTCTGTGAAGTTTGGATTCAGTTAAAGGGCCACACTTGAGGACCTAGAGGGCCACATATGGCCTTGAGGATGCAGGTTTCCCATCCCTGGATTAAGGTGTAAGAAAACAGGAAAGGTAGGAAGAGGCCAGGTGATAAAAAGCTTTAAATGTAAGAAAAAAAAAAAAACCAGAGTTTATATTGGATTCTAGAAGTAACAGGGAGCCACTGGATATCACTAAGCAGGGATGAAGCACAGGCAGATCTATGCTTTAGAAAAATTGCCTTGATGTTTTGCATGACTGCACATGTATAACCTTTATCAAGTTGCTTGCCTTCTCAATGATAGGGGAGGGAAGAGAGAATGAGAAAGAGTTTGGAATTCAAAATTGTAAAAAAAAAAAATCTGAAGGTTAAAAATTATTTTTACATGTAAGTGGGAAAAAAATAAAATATTAAAATTCAAAAGAAAAAGAAAAAAAATTACCTCAGCAGCTAGGTGGAGAATGAATTGGAGTAGAGAGATATTTGGTTAAGGAGATTAATTAG